CTGTTAATGCCTATTCTGATGAGAAAATACAGATGAAAGTTGTTTATAAGCTCTGAAAAGAAGTCAGCAAGAGTGTGAGACAGGAATTTGAGCTGATACTGAAGCTTAGTAGCCTCTAACTCAGAATTAGCTATTATTGGTATATAAAGTATGTATAATTATCGCAGATACTCAGTTTGAATATCAACTTGAATAGCCATCTACTCTTGTGCTCACTTCAGTCCTCTCTTTCTTGTCTGATGGATTTTGCTCTGAAGAGCATCTTTTTCCTTGCTTTTTCAATGGACTCTATCTCATTCATCTAATCCTTGAGCTTCAACTCAAAAGTAACATTGCCAATAGCTTTATTGATGCCCATGCACTCCACCAGCCTCCACACATGCACTTAAGCCTAATCAATCAGCATGTTCCTAACAGATTCAAGAATCAAAGAAGTTCATAAATCAAATACTTGGACAATTAATTCCATCAAGCCAGAGTCTGTAGTGCTCATCATTATTATTGTATGATTATTAACTATTAATATATTCTCTGACTTCACTACTAACCAATTGCACAGCTTGAAAACTGTGTCAAAGAATGGTCAAGTAGTAAATTTATCACAAAAACTCTTGATGAAGATGTTTAATAGCCCCACAACATCACTCATTCAGCAGACATCTAAAAATAGTGCAAAGGTCAATGCAAAGATTACTGGAAACATACTTAAATAATAGTATAACAGTGCTAGATATTATGCTATCTCTCTATTGGTTATTTGATTTACTAATTATGGTTTTTGTAGAGCAAATGCAGAAATAAAAGAAAAGCAGACAGTGACCAGCTATCTCAACAATAAAGAAGAAGAGATCTGAGCCAAAGCTGACCTTGATGGTAGAACAGAAGATACAGATAGTAAGAATGAACTTTTCAGCAATAACAATAGAGATAGTAATGTTAATAGGAATGCAAAAAATGAGATGAAGGAATGACCAGTAGTGTGTACTAGTAGCTATAGCATAATCTAATTTAACTAGTAGTTGATATGCTACAAATTTGTGTGATATATTGACTGAATATATGTCTACTATAGAAGTTGATGAAACTATCAGTGTTGATGGTTGTAATACTGTTATAGAATCATAATACTACTATAGCAGTCTAAGACTGCTACATATAACTTAGATGCAGCTATAGCAGAGCTATAAGCAAGTACATACTTGTGCCTACATACTACATGCTAGTATCTAAGAGGGATATGCTACTAAGATATGTAGACTATGTACATGACATAGCTGAACATATCATACTGGATTTTTCCTGATGACCTTTGGCAGCTTGAACTCATGGAAGCTAAAAGCATTCATTATCTTATTACAGTTCAACTTCAATAACAGGCCTGAGACTTTTAGAGTTGAGGCTGTTAAAATTAACTATGCTATCTCTTTCCTTTCTAGTGTCACTTTTGACTGATTCAAATCAGACATCCTATATTCAAACTACACTAACCTCTCTACTTGAGCATACTCCTATGTCATCTTTCAGAACTCCAGACTAATTTTGGCCTATTCAATGCAGTTGATGATGCTGAGAATGAACTTGAAAATCTTCAGATATGTGACAGAGATTGGATTATGAATTATATAGTCCAGTTTAACCAATATGCTACCATCATCAGCTATAGCAACAACTCCCTCTGCTGCACCTTCTATTATAAACTTTGCCCATGAATTAAAGATGATATGACTTACTGTAAAAAACTAAACAATCTACATGATATGTGCAATCTAGAAGCTTAATGCTCACTATTGGACTCAGAAAGCTGAGATTGCAAGAGAAACCTATAATAAAACTCTTCACAACTCCTTTTTCTCATCCTCCAACAAATCTAAGGGTTCAGATTCCAACTCAAACTCCCACAGTAATTTCACAGGCTTTAAATCTTACAACTTGAGCTCTATGGAATTCTTTTTCTCTTTATTTTCCAACTCTTCAGATGCTTTCATGAAGTCTCACACTGATAAGCTAGACAAAGATAGTGAGCTCACTTCTGAGAGAAAGAAACACCACTGCAAGAATAACCTCTGCATACTCTATAGAGGTAAGTGCAAGACTGAAGATTACAACAAGTGCAAGTCTATAGCCTCCACTAAAGGCCATACAGCTGAAGTCACTACTCCTGCCTCTAGTGATTTGACTCCTGTGGAGTCAGAAAGCTAGAGAGCAATCCTGTATCCTCTGCACAAAGACAAAATTACATTGACTATCTGTTATGTGCATGCTGCTGGCCTTCACTCCACACCAACTTCAACTTCTAAGTTCCATCCAACCACCACAACCCAGAGACCAACAGTTTCCACCTGCTCACCATATACCACTCTATTTGCAATCTACTTTTCATTTCACATATTAATTTCTAGAGCCTGATTTTAATAATGAATAGATAGCACTGGAGCCTATCAGAATTAGCTACCATTAGTATATAAGCTCTGTAATATCACTGTAAATGCTCAGTTTGAATAACTTGGTTCAGCCCAATACTTCATCCTTATCTCAGCATCTCAAGTCTGATGGATTCTGCTCTATTTATATTGTCTTATTTCTTCACCACTCCACTCTCTCCATAGACTTTACTCTGCTTCACAGTCATATCTTTTGGACTCTGACTCAAGAGTGATGTTGCTAATAGCTTTGCCAAGCCCATGTGCTCCACTAGCTTCTGTGCATGCAATCCAAGCCTATCTATTGGCACATTCCTAACTGTATATTCAAACTCAACTCCTTGAGTTGAAATTTTTCTTCATTATGTCCACCACATTCACTCAACCTCTAGAAGCAGAATCTGAAAACACTCAACCCAAATGTATCTTCTCTATAGAGGATATTATGGCCTCCACATCTAAGGAATGTGCAGACTTATTTGAAGCAGCTTCTAGTAGAGAGAAAAGCTTCTGTAGAGAGACCTAAATCCACTTCATCTTCATTGCCTGCCAATCCAACCATGATGATTTATCTAACCCCTTCAATGCCATTAATAAACCTCATTGGACAAATCCCATATATGATTTTTGGAATAATCCTATAATGGATTTCATATCTCTAGATACTGTTTATAGAAACACAGATGACACAGACTCCAATGGAGAAGGCAACAATGACACTCCTACTCACATTCCATATTATTGTGGACTGAATGATGCTCCACCCAACACTTCTTCAGACAACCCAGATGGCTCTGGCAGATCCAGTAGACCAGATAGTCCTGACACTCCCAACAGCCTCAGCAGTGGAACAACAACAACATCTCTAATATTAGAGCAAAACATGATATAATAATTTATAAATCTACTATGTGAGATTTTCACTTTTCTCAACACTAAGGTCAAGGAGCTAGACACTTTTGATAGCTTCAATCTCTGAAAACTGAAGGTATTCATAGTCTCTCTTCAAACTTCAATGACAGAATCACTACATTTGTGGCAGATGCCAATAAACTCAACTATGCCATCTCTTTTCCTATCTGGCATCTGTTCATGATATGAGTAGGAGTGTCATTGTTGCCTTCTCCATTGGAGTCTGTGTCATCTGTGTTTCTATAAACAGTATCTAGAGATATGAAATCCATTATAGGATTATTCCAAAAATCATATATGGGATTTGTCCAATGAGGTTTATTAATGGCATTGAAGGGGTTAGATAAATCATCATGGTTGGATTGGCAGGCAATGAAGATGAAGTGGATTTAGGTCTCTCTACAGAAGCTTTTCTCTCTACTAGAAGCTGCTTCAAATAAGTCTGCACATTCCTTAGATGTGGAGGCCATAATATCCTCTATAGAGAAGATACATTTGGGTTGAGTGTTTTCAGATTCTGCTTCTAGAGGTTGAGTGAATGTGGTGGACATAATGAAGAAAAATTTCAACTCAAGGAGTTGAGTTTGAATATACAGTTAGGAATGTGCCAATAGATAGGCTTGGATTGCATGCACAGAAGCTAGTGGAGCACATGGGCTTGGCAAAGCTATTAGCAACATCACTCTTGAGTCAGAGTCCAAAAGATATGACTGTGAAGCAGAGTAAAGTCTATGGAGAGAGTGGAGTGGTGAAGAAATAAGACAATATAAATAGAGCAGAATCCATCAGACTTGAGATGCTGAGATAAGGATGAAGTATTGGGCTGAACCAAGTTATTCAAACTGAGCATTTACAGTGATATTACAGAGCTTATATACTAATGGTAGCTAATTCTGATAGGCTCCAGTGCTATCTATTCATTATTAAAATCAGGCTCTAGAAATTAATATGTGAAATGAAAAGTAGATTGCAAATAGAGTGGTATATGGTGAGCAGGTGGAAACTGTTGGTCTCTGGGTTGTGGTGGTTGGATGGAACTTAGAAGTTGAAGTTGGTGTGGAGTGGAGGCTATCAGCATACACATAACAATGTCCAACCTTCCTCATTCAAATTCATATTAGTAGCAATGGGAATGAGTTCCTTTAAGAACTGGTTGACCACTGCTAAAATGGCATCATGCCCTTTGGACTCAGAGAGAGATCCTATCATATCTACTGAGACTACCTTCCATTTGTCTGATCTCATTTGGGTGCAGTGGTGTTGTCCTCTTCTGCATGCTCAATTTTACTTGCTGGCACATTTTACAGCCCTTAACATAGGCCTCTACTGACTGTTTAAGGTTTAGCTATCAGTAATTGCATGTGACTAGTTCCTGAGTCTTTGCAATTCCTGGGTGCCCTGCCATTAGGTGATCATGGCAAGTCATGATGATCTCACTATGCAACTTCTTGTTGGCAGGAATATATAGTTGGTCATGGAAATAATATCCTTCCAACACTGACTCAGATCTAGTGTTGCTATCAGAGTCCTCTCTGGTCATCATCCATGATCTTGGATGTCATGTCAGATAAAGGAAAGAGTAAATAGAAGAGAAATTACCAGTTTATGTTGCCTCAGGAGAGTGCAGGAGTGACAGAAAGTATTTATTCTATTTTTTTGGTATTATTTGGATTTATTTATTTTACATAACCTTGTTTGGCAGCATGAAAAGGTTTTTTGGAATGGCTGTAGTTGCTAAGGATAAAATCAATAAAAATATGTCAATGCATATAATGGTATCATGATGAGAGTACAGTAGCAAATGGACTTAAATGACACTGTCCTCTAGAGTTAGTAATCCTGTCCATGAATCAAACATACGCTGCATAGGAGCCAATCACTGGCCTATGGTCACTCCTCCCTTCTAATCTTCTCATGCCCCGGTCATCTAATGTATCATAACTCAAACAAATAACATCTCCCTTCCTCCGGACCTCAGTTCTAGTATTCTCCCGGTCCGCCTCAAGGCTATTATTATGTGATAAAAAAGGGAAGAAGCGCCACCTTGATGGTGTCGATATTCGTTGTGTGTGCTCCCGGATCGCCCTTTCCAAAGGAACGAATGGGTTTTGATTTACTTCCGAGTTGGTGGTATGGCTAGTCGATACGCGTCGTGGTGGTATTGGATCAGTGGTAGAGCCGACGGAATGGCGCCGCCGAGTGTTTATATCGTTGAAGTTCTTCCGGGGAAGTGATGGCGGTGTTTCTGTAATAGGAAAGTGAGCAGCCGATGTGCTATAAGGTACTGTGGTATGCTCCGGTAGTTGGGTATCAGAATGTTGTGCGAGGTTGGCAATGCGAGAAATTGGAGATGTATTGTGTAAAATATCATGGGAGACGAGCGGGGAATCTGCTGATATCGAGCTGGACTTGAGAGATCCTGTTGATTCCCTCCGCATCGCAGAGAGAGGTCGGAAGGCGTGAGCAAGGAATTGGCCCATTCTTGTTCGTGCCCTAGAAGGCGGTTCTGGCCACTCCTCTTTGGGTTCGGGTTCGGGTTCGGGAACGACCGTGGACTTCCACAATATGCGGTCGCACCTGGAGGTGAATCAGCTTTACATAGACAATATACAGACATGAACGCACCAGCTCGGAACACGTTTCTTATGAGACGAATCATAAACACCCTTGTCTACATCGCTTATGCCATCTTCATCGTCGCTAGGTACACTCGACTTTGTTGAGCTCACTCTGCCCAAAGGCGGAGGCTTAAGTAGCTGCGATTCGCCGCCGTCCAGTGAAATAGCCCTCTCCTCGCGTAAAGGCGTCTTGATCTCGCTGACAATATCGACCGAAGTGTGCGGCTTGTGACTCTTCAAGACCTCAACGTCAGGACTGTCTCTCCTCTTGAGCCATCTCGCAGGAGATGCTCGCACACTCGGCGAAAGCATGGAAAACCATTTTATCTTCGCTCTGTGTGCAGCCGTGGACAACGACACTTTGCTCCCGGGCGTGGTACTCTGCGACATAAGTGGCGAATCCAACTCGCCGTCGTCCACCTCCATGACAAGTCTTGAATGCGTGGATGTCCACGCGGACGAAGACAGCGAAGTATTCTCTCCTTCGCCTTCCTCATCCGCATCGTCATCCTCTACAAATTCTAATTCTTTCTCTTTCTCTTCAACTTCAGTGAGTGGGTGTGATCTTTCGCCACGCCAACGATCCGGTCGAGAGCTATATTTTGGCCGCTTCAACGTGCGCAGCACGTCATACTTGAATGTCGGCGGGAAATCTATGGGCGCCTCTTGGAAACCGACGAAAGCTTGTTCTTTCTCCATGATGTTTCGTAGCTGGTCAAAAGCGAGTGCTTGCGCGTAATCTATTCCGGATTGTCGGAAAAATATGCAAACGAGACAGAGAACCCGACACACCCTGCCGTGATATCAACCAGTCTGCATGTAACCGTGAAATGTTCAATCGAAAATTGAGATCGCCGAATATAAAGGTAAAGTCGAATTTGTCGGTGAGATCTGAAGAAGACGTTAACTGCATGTCAACACTATCTGCCAGGACCGAACCTTCGGCCATCATCCGCTCGTCGGTATGGGATAAAAAGTCGTCCACGGAAAGCTCGGACTAGATAGAAACGTCAAGTCCGATCTACGATGCGCGAAGGTCGGCCCACCTTGATTTTGGCAAGATTGGCCAAGCGGTGATTTACTTTGCCTTTATGAGCCGTCAAATGGCAGTTGAGAAAGAGAAAAGACATTCCGTCTATTTTCATGCTGATGCCGACGGCGCCCTTATTCCCGACTCTCCCTCCAATAAGCCCGGCTGTAACTGCAGATTTGGATGTTCCTACGCAAGTTTTAGAACGACAGCTGTGTGACATAATGGAACTCACCATCAACATGGCTTTTCAAATCACGATGGATATAGACCGCTAGATATATGCCCATCATACGTTCCTTGATGAGCAGCTGGTAAGGACCCTTCCGAGGCTCCTTCGACGTTACGCGTGGGGAGAGAGGTTTGGGCATACTGATATCATTTGGAGTGGGGGAAGACAGGCGCGTGCCGCAGGATCCACCGTGGCATAACCAATCTTCTACCATTGACGTCCAACCGGTGGGAGTTTCATATGGCAAGTCCTCGGCGTTCTTCTTCGACTTGACGGTATCATCCTTGACGGAGTGCTTCGACGAGCGCTCCTTGTCCTTGTCGTCCTTCTCAATTAGTTTGAAACCGGCGCCGAGGCCCATCGGCATGCCTAGCTACTGATTAGACATGGAAGCCGTAGGACAGAGTCCCAACTTGCCAGACATAGAAGGACACTCCTGACCAGCACTGTAGGATCATTAAATGAAGGCCGTAGCAGATGAGCGTGAAACGTACATTACGACAAGGTGATATGGGTGGGTGTTGTCTGCAGACAGGACAGGAAAAGCGTCAGGCGACAAAGGCGTGTTCGACGTGTACAGAGGAACTTTGCCCAGCAGTTCCTCAAGATCTCCCTACAAAGGTGATTACTGGTTGTCAGCAACAAGGACAGCATTAGGACGGACCTTGGGAACTGAATCGTGCATATTCCAAGTCAATATCCTAATCTTGAGAAACCTGGGCGAAGGAACTGTCGATTTCGCGATAGGGGGCATCTGTCGGTCGTGAACAGTCGAGTCGGACGATGGTGGGGGGGAATGGGGGAAAAGAGCGTGTAAACGAGCAAGAACGGTTTGCGGGGCTGTAAGGACATTGAGGGCAGTCGTTGGCTGGACAGTGAATATCTCACCTTGCCGCGAGGGCAGTATAGGAGTATCAGGCATGGTGATTCACATGTACAGGGGAAATAGGCGGGGAAATAGGCTATCAATGCTGAGACATGTAGTCGAAATACAACAACAAATAATAGATTGCATCTATCTAAGACTATTTAAGGAGAGATGGTGACCTCGACCTCGACACCCGGCTCCAGACTGATAGATGTCTACAGCCAGCAGTGAGAAAAAATCAGCTGAATAACTGAATGATACGTACAATTTGCTTGACAATCTCGCTGGAAGAGTGGAGGTCAATGAGGCGCTTGTGAACCTTGAGCTCATAGCGGTCCCACGTCTTCGATCCTTCACCACAAGGCTACATCGAAAGCTAAGCAAAAAAAGAAAGAAAATACCGGGGAAGAGGATATTGTGACTCACAGTCTTACGGGTGGTGATCTTGAGGACCTTGGTGGGGAGACGGACGGGACCCTTGACACGGAGCTGCTTGTCCTTGGCACGGTTGATGAGGTCGTTCGAGACTGCACGATAATGAAAGCAAGAACACAGACAACAAACGGGTACCTACACTTTTCAAGGTTCTTGACGTTGCTGCTCGTCAACGTGATACGGATTTTGTGAATTTTGGCGGCGGGGACGGGTGCACCGGTAGCATCGTATTCTTTTTCTCCTTTAGCGACGTAGCTCATGATTGCAGATGAACCAGAAGGTGACTGTATAAAAGATGAGAAAAAAGGCAGCAACGAAATTCAGAATTTCGCACCTAAGAGGATCTGTGTAGACCCAAAAAAAATAAGGTTTACTTTCCTTATATCGTTCGGCAATTCCCGATCCACCTTTGGCACGACCCATCATGCAAGGTAAACCCCGTCCAATTACTGTTTTCAATCCCAGCACTGACACTTAGTAGGATTCAATAAATACTATCCTCCTGACTACGATGGTGAGAAACACGGTAGTCTTAATTCATACAGAGGTAAGCATCCAGCCCATCGATCCAAGTTCATCTTCTCACACACCGCGTAGGGAAACACGCCCTCGGAGACAGAGCACGAAAAATCGACCAGGGGATCCTAATTACCCGCTTCGAACTTCCCTTCAACATCTGGTGGTAAGTCCGTCTCCTCAACGCCGTCAACCGAGTCACTCAAAAGAGTCACACCCAGCGGGACATGCAATAATCATATTGGAATGGGTGTCCGATACAACGCAGAGAAGAAGAAAATCGGCAACTATTATTCCACCCCCATCTTCTCCTTTCGGTGTAAATGCCATCTATGTGACGGTTGGTTCGAGATCCAGACGGACCCCAAGGTAAAAATACCACCTCCCTTCTTATTCATTCCCAGGTAACACCTGATTAGAATACTCGCTACGTGGTCGTCTCAGGTGCCCGGCAAAAGGACGAAGAATGGAATCCGGAGGAAAACGGTGGCTTCGCTGTTCACGGCAAGTCCGAGGGTCTCTGTAATCCCCGAACAACGCGCTAACCCTTCCCGTGTAGATACCGAGGATGCTGCGGCTCCTGTAGATCCCCTCGTTGCCCTTGAAAAGACTACCGATGCCCAAAATCACCTAACAAACGTCCAGATGCCCAGGCTAGAGTCCCTTCAGTCAGTCTCGGAGCATTACAACGCAGACCCTTATGCCCTCTCCTCCAAAGTCCGCAAAGTCTTTCGTCACGAGAAAAAAATAGAAACCGCTAAGCGCAAGGCAGACGATGAGATCAAAGGTCGCTACGCCCTTCCGACAGAGATGAAGCTCCTCGACGACGACGAACAATCTAACAGCCACGCCAAAGAAGAATGGCAAAGGGCTCGGTCCGAGTTTGAGGTAAGGGAGAGAAAGCGGAGAAAGATGCCCCTTGCGTCTTCGCTACAACCTCGACCCACTTCCGACTCCAAATCCCACACCGTCAATTCCCTTCGTGCTCGCATCTTAGGCAACACCGCAAAAAGCTCCAGCAAAGATCCACGTTCATTAATGCACAAGTGATTGTACATGGTTTTACTTTTATTCTCTAACTGTAGCCATAGTCCATTAGTTTACATCTGTAGCCAATCCCGACCAATATATATATTTAATGACAAGCACGGGCAGTCGACAAGAAATCGATAGCGAGTAAAACAACACGTAGCAATACACAGAGCAGGATGGGGTGAGATATTCAAGAGAACCAGTAGTAACGACAACAGAAATCGCTGAAAAAATAGAAATGAAATAACTCCAAGGAATGACAGAACCATAAGATAATGTAAACAGGTACGAATGGGAATTAAACACGCACGACAAATCCAAAGATATAAAAAAACGTTAAACAAACGACTAGAAACTATCCCCGTGCTATGATGAGGTGAAGATAGCCCATGGCTGTTCCAGTGTAGTCATAGGACTATCCCATTTCCACTCTGTCGACTGGAAATAGGCTGACTCTCCTCCATCCACCTCTTTAAATATGCCTAACCGAAGTGGATCCGACGGTTCCTCCGTTTTAAAATCAGAAAATGTCAGCGCCTGATGCGCTGCATCCGCTTCCGAGCCAGATTCCGGACTGGGGTTCGCTGATGACGGCACAAGGTCTGGTGTAGGCGCCTTCGACCCTTCATCATCGTCAACGGCCTCCGTCTCGAACAAAGAAAAGTCGAAAAATTCGACAAACTCATCTGCACCAGCTATGGATGGCGTCGGCACACGCTCACCGGTACTGCTCCCTTCTCCAACTGACGTCCCATCGCTTCCATCAGGTGCCGCACTGTAACCCTTCAAAATCATGTCCAAGGTCTCTAATATATCAGAAGGCAACGTCGACTCTTGTCCCTCGCCTGCCATCTTGATTAGCTCCGTCATCCGCTCCAAGAATTGACTCGCATCTTCTTCCGTTTGAATGTTCTCGATGGTTTCCTCCCGCTTCTTCAACGCATCGTTAGGAGGTCCCTCCCAGTCCGTCTTCGCCTTCTTCGGCGGTGACGGCTCGCTTGCCGCAGATATGGATGGTCCTGACGGCGGCGTCGCGGCTATACCAGATCCACTTGCCCCACTTGGCGTAGATGCTAGGGCAAGTGTCTCTTCTTCTCGTGGTCGCTTAACTCCATTGATTAGCGTGGGATTAGGAGTTTGCGCGGGCTCAATAGTTGGAGTAGACGATGCCTTCGAGATCCTGCGCTTGGAAACCTTGCCAGGTTTATTGGGTGCCTTGACTTTGGGAGATTTGGGGGAAGAGGTGATACTGATAGAGTTCGTGGCTGAGGGTGTCGATGCATTTGGGGTAGGCGTGGAGGCAGCTGGAACAGGCGGAGGAGTGGGAGATGCAACCGTCGCTCCAGCAGGACTGGATGATACGGGTTGTATCGGTTTCTTCTTCATAGGTAAAGATGGAGTAGGTGGCGCGGCCGTTGGCGGTCGATTAATGGTTGACGGAACATTGGAATGATGTTGCGACTGTGGCTGATGGACTTGTTGACCGGGATGTATGGGACCGGCGTTCGGCTGTTGGGAAACCACTGGACGAGACGGCATGCTCATACCAGGAGCAGAAGGGCCGTTGACGATACTTCCGCTTGGTGGCAGCGGAGGCTGCTGCTGTTGATGCTGTTGCTGTTGCTGTTGCTGTTGATGCTGCTGTTGATGCTGATGCTGCTGCTGTTGCTGTTGATGCTGCTGGGCGATGATCATCTGAGCCATAGCATTGAATCTTTCATGGCCTTTCTGAACTTCACTGAGCATCAGACGAAGATTATCCAGATTTACAATGAATCGTGGATTGGTAGCAGACAGAAAATTGCGCTGCTGTTGGACAGTCACAGCCTTCAAACCCCGTCAGATTCTGATGTTCAGTTCAACTGAAGAACTACGTACTATCACAGCCAGCCTCTTGACCCACACGTCGTTCTTACCATTCGCAAACAGATATAGCACAGGGAGCTGACTCTCCAGCTCTAAAGTTGCTCGATGCAGCTGCTCAACCACAGCATTGTAGGCCATCCTCTCTTCAGGAAGAACTCTGACCGTACCAAGAGCAGCCATACCTGGGAGTTTGTGATGAGCCCGTGAAAAGAACGCAAGGTAGAAGCACTCACGATTGGCAAGAAAGTCATGCTTCACCTGCGACAACATGTTAGAAATTCGCGTTAACTGGTCTTGATTTCCTCGCATGAACTGCGAAATAATGTTATTCGAAGGAAGATGGGGTCGATGCTCCATTATGTTGCTCCCATCCGCTGCACCGTTTTGCAAAGGCGTGTTTGGCATAAACTGTGGAGGGGGCGTCCCCAGAGGATTAGCTGCAGGGTTCTGTGATGGCGTAGTAGTAAATTGTCTGTTATTCGCCACCCTTCCCATTCCTTCTGACAGCTGCTGCACGGGCTGGTTCGTAGGTGCGCCGCGTAAGTTGCCACGGAACATATTTTGTTCCGCAGCCGTGCGTTGTATCTGTGCGCGATTATTCTCGATAAACTGAATAACATGCTCTTGGACGCCTTTCGCTCGCAATTCTGCTGGAGAAAGTTCGGCGTACGCCATGACCATTTGCATTTGCGCGGCATTCATCGGTTTCGTAAGGTTCGCAGGGTTCGCAAGCTGCTGAGCCGCCATGCTAGCCTGCTGCTTGCGCCTCGAATCTAGGACGGTAGTGACGTAAACCGTATCGAAGTGCGCAAGATGGTCCTTGTATATTTGCTCCAATTGATGAGCAGTGACTGGCCCCGACTTCGCAGGTTCCGTCTCGCTACCGGGAAACTGAACGTAACCCAAGCGGGCAGCAATAGCAGCCCAAAGTTCTTTCTGAGAGACCTGTAAAAGATGTGAAGGTGAGCAAACATCAATTTGACCATGGCCGACGGCGAACCTTAGCTGCACCGCCCTCCTGCATAACGTGTGTATGAAGCGCATGAATATCCACCGACCTATTTTCGATCGTCGCAAGGGCTCTAATGTCGCGATTCAAACCCTTAGAGTTCAGATAATTCATGTATGTGGTCTCAAATCTAGGCTTCTCCAAAGGCGGCGGATGTGCAAGGCCAAACGAGTTCGACATTCCGTTGGAAACGCCTGGCTGGCCACCTCCAGCACTAGTGTTCATCCCGAAAGGAAACTGAGTACCGTTCAAAGAAATTTGCGATGGAGTTGGCTGCGAGGTAGACACAGAGCGGTTAGAAGGGATGATTTGCGGCATGCTGTGATTTTGAGGTGGCGGCTGGGGGTGGTGTTGAGAAGGGCTAGGCTGGAGATTCGACGGTTGGGGTTGATGGGAAGGTTGGCCATTCCCGAATGAGGAGACCTGCGGTTGCATCCATTGTGGTTGCGACGGGGGGTGAGATTGTTGGTTCGCTGTATTCATGTTATGCCTGAATTAAAATAAGTATGGCGTAGAGGGTTATGTGAAGCACAAGAGACCCACATATTATTATTATTCGCCATGAGTACAACTCTTCCTAGCATCTCTTTGGCCTTAGAGATATCAGTTTGTTGCGTTTTAACCTGGCTGATGAAAGCCGCATCAGGCATTCCCGCATGGTTGTTCTGCAGATGACGAAGGCTGTTCTCGCCACTGCTGATCATGCTTTGCAGTGTCATAATACGGTTTTGAACGTCAAGGGTGAACTGAGGACGTGGTACGCCATTGGGACCCATAGTGAACTGGTGGGGCCGCCCGCCCATCTGGGTTGACGGGTTGGCCGGAGACGCTCGCCGCAGAGCATCGTTGGTGCTCATCGCAGGAGAGAATATGTCACTCTGGCCAAGCTGGTTAACCGACTGATGCTGCTGCTGCTGTTGCTGCTGGGGTTGCTGGGGTCGCTGCTGAGTATTTAAACGGGAATTAAATGACATGGGACCATTCTGATTCTGCTGGTTGGCAGCCATACCGATGAGCTCGAGTTGCCTGTTATGGTTCTGGTTGCCCGTAATGGCCTGCATCATGGCGTTTCTGGCCTGCATGGAATTCTGAGAAAGGGGGGCTTGCAGGCTACCACCGCCGACCACATTGGAAAACCCAATAGACGGCCGCTGAGAAGGCGGATCATGGAAGGGCGGCTGCTGAGATGCGCCGCCACTCGGACCCGTGCCAATTTGAGGAACTCCTAGCGAAAAAGGCTGCTGTTGTTGTCCATGAGCACGGGCAGCCATGTTCTGACTCCGAAGTAAATCAGCCATCTAGAAGTAAGAAAGAGGTCAGCACCAGGATACGTAATGAGAGCTTGAGAAGAAAGTATGCTGAGTCGATAAGAATGAGCTGTATCATGGGTCGATAAGACACATGAGCGGGAAATGGAACTGCAAAGGCTGCACGGGCTACCAATGATCCCCGTAAAGGCATGACGATTAATAAGGAGACGTGCTACGGTACGGATCCGAGGTGTACCACTCCACAGAGTAGACGGACCAATGGTGGACAGGAGCTCGAAAAATATCCAGAGTAACGATACTTGCCTGCTGATTAATTTGCGGACTGTTCACATCCGTCCCATTATTCGGTCGGAATTGGTTCTGCAGATGCTGCATCTGGTTCCAGAGATGAGACTGCTCTGGGAACGGCGGCATTGCCTGGTGGTTGTCCTGGTGCTGCTGCTGAGACGTCTGCTGCTGCATCTGATGTGGCTGAAGCATAGAGGGGTTGAAATTGGCCATCATCGAGTACTGCGAGAGACGGTCTGCCATGATTCCGAAGATCAGAGGTCTGCCAGCGAGGAGGCGTCAGGTGAAGGGGGTTGCAGACCGCCGCGTACGTCGAACAGAATGTGGACGACGAAAAGGAGGAGAGGGATGTAATGGGAGCGTAGAAGGAAAGGGCGTGGGCCCTCGTCGGTGGGAAACAGGAAGGATGTCAGACTGTACCAGGGCTGTGGCTGAGTAGCTTTGATCTTGTTTGTTAATCATGGCAAAAATGTCCATGTTTAGCAATATTCTGACCAAAACGATGGAGCAGCTTCCACGATTTTCGTCCCAATTTCTTGCAAGTATCTTTAAAAGGCATCTGCTCCCTCCAAAAATATTTCCTTTACTTTCGTTGGCCAGCCGCGGTTCTCCCTTATCTCCTCGACGCGAGCATAATGTCCGCCGAGGAAGATCATACCCCATTGTTCCTTCCTCGGTGCCTTGTCAATCTACACCAAGTGTGGCGTACCACCTGTATTCTCTAGCCAACAGCAGTGGTATGTTTCCATTACTAGTTACTATATGGTCCTCATGATGTACAAACAAAGATCTGGCCTCGTCAACGTATGCATGTCTAGTGGAAGAGTGAATGACGAATACTAAAGGTGCTGCACTTTAGGGTGCTTGCACCTACAAGAATGAATGATGATGATGATTTCTATGTAGTATGGGCTGCATGGTGTGAGATAATACGAGTACAGAGAGAGGGACACGAAGCGCCAACAACTATAGGCTTGACCCGGTATGGGCATCAGAGTTGCCGTCTTTGCGTTCCTTTGGCATCGAGATTACTGGGCCAGCTTCCAGGATAATGTCGTCGTCGTCGTCGTCGTCGTACTCATCGTACTCGTCATCGTGTACCAACAAGCGTGCAGATACGTCTTTGGCTTTACTGGGGGCGTTGGGACCGACTGCCAGAATTCTATCCTCATCCTCATCTTCCGTAGCCTGCGACTGCGTTTCCTCAGCAATGGCATCCGCTTCCTGCCTAAACCAGTAGCGAAGACCCACAGGGATCATCACTCCAACAACCACTGCGGAAAGACCTAAAAAGTTCTTCCAGCTGATTAAATGGAAGTCATCGGCACTGGTCATTTCATCCAAACCACCGCCGATGGTTGTGTGTATGACGGTAACGCCTAGAATACCGAGGGCGGTGCTAATCCAAAACGGAGCGAGTCCGATTCCCACATGCGGACACACAACGTTAACAACCCAGTGAGGTGGCAGCGGGGCAATGCGAAGGACGATCAGGTAGGAAATGATATTAGCTTTGTTCGCGGCTATTGTGACCGACCATTTTGTCAAGAGAGCGCGAAACTTTGGTATAGTGAGGAGTGCAGGACCGAGCGCAGCTGAAATGAGGTAGCATAGAGTGGCGCCTGACGCAACACAGACGCAGGCAAGAGGTAGTGCAAAGGGAACTCCCCAAACGGCACCGCCAAGGATGGAAAGGTACATGGAACCTGGCAATGAAAATGCCTGTAGACTAGAGCGAATAGTCAGCGTGGAAAGTCAAACACACATGTTAGGAGACGAACAAGAGGTATGTTGTTACATAACAAACAAATATGCGGTACGGATAGATGTCGCGGTATTTCTTAAGGAGAGTATTGAGCGCTTGTAGCTGAGCAAAGGACTTGGGAATTCGGAGAGAATCTCGATCCACACTACAGCCAGGTAAGGACGGGATTCAATGCATCGCGACAAAACGTACTCTTCAAGGGTAGGTAGTGCAAGCCACAGGGTACCACCCAGAAATATTGTACTGACAACAAAAATGGCGGCCATCTTCAGTGTTGCATTAAAGATCACTCTACGCGACGATGTCCGGGAGGAAGAACGAGGCAGAGCACCGTATGATGGAGCTCCGGCGCTACGCAAAGGAGTGAGGTCATCGTCCTCATAGTCGCTCTGGTAAACAGTGTCAAGCGTATATACCGACGCATTTGAAGCGGACAACGTATGTGGAGGCGGCATGGGGACAGCAGCGGAGGTGGTGGTGAGATTCCTGCAGCGGCAGCCCTATTTGGATGGATGATTCAGCCATGACGTAATCTATTTGACAGCAACCCTTTCGTCGGAGAATCAAATATGGTTGTAAACTAAAACCTTATTTTGTCCATCAACACAACTCCCATCTCTACCAAAAAGATTATGGTGAGTATTTCGTCGCTTTCTGTTGCCATTTGCTTTACTGATGATGCTACTCAGGACTCCTCAAAGGCCCCCGTCAAACTGGCAAAAGTTATCAAAGTGCGCTTAGCGTCCGCCGACTGGTCTTTTCGCTAATCAAGTCTGTAGGTCCTAGGCAGGACTGGCTCGCGGGGAGGTGTTACTCAAGTCCGAGTAGAATTCATGGACGACACATCACGGTCTATCATACGAAACGTCAAGGGACCCGTGAGAGAGCAGGACATTCTGGCTTTACTCGAGAGTGAACGTGAAGCTCGGTACGTCTATCTCTTTTCGCTAAACATTCGGTTATTCATTTCCCTGTAGTCGCCTGCGTTGATTGTACCACTGTGCTTTGTTTCTTATTGCTGCAATCTACGAGTTATTACCGTCCAAAGCCGTGTCTCCGAGACCACGTTGCTCGAGTTCATATGTCACCGATAAACCCAGCACTTGCTTTCCATCACAATTTCTGCACAAGACGTCTATGAAGAAAATACAGTGCTGCGCTCACGTCAAATCTCACTACCTGCTCATGTCTACTATGAGCAGCGGCATGAATCTCGCGCTTGCATACCACATTGAAATTACCCGTTACTTTGTGTTTTTGTGATTTTCTCTTTATTCTGTCGCTCTATTTTCAGCTTGAGGCATTTCGACTCGCACGCCTTTCTCTCGTTTGTGTAAAGGATTTTCTAGAGCATCGATTTTTGAAATCTGGAAATTTTAAGTTACAGTACTTGGGCCACCGACAGGTTAAATAAAATGTTGAAAAGTGAGAATCACTCGTTCATGCTACTGTCATGATTTCGTTGCTGCATGCTGTGCTTTGCGCTACATCTTCAATGCTGTTCTGCGACTAACTCTGTGCAATGAGCACGAAGTACAAAGTCCTCGAACTGCCTGTTATTCCATTCCATCATGACAGATCTGGGCTCCATACATGTGCTCATGTTCTTCAATCCTCTGACGACGCTCGCTTGTTATTCCAAGCACAGGTACATATCAACTCGGAAACACGTGGTGGTGGTTGTAGTTGCAACTTGCGGACCGGAATTCCAACGGAATTGATAAGTGTAGCAGTCATCTTCCCAGTACCCGGCCGCAAAATCGCTAGATATCCGTATCGTGTCGCTTTCGAACATTGTATCTGTGATTCACCAGAATGTCCATCCCTCCACCACCCGGCTATTATGTCCCTGCAGTACTCTTTATGACGGAGAGCGAGGATTTCGACGTCCCAGCGATCAAAGCCCATGTCCTGAGACTGGCCAAGGCGAGTGACGCTCTCTGAATGATGTAAAGACAGCTAATATTGAGTAGGGAGGTGTGACTGGAATACTAGTGCAAGGCAGTAATGGTGAAGCTCAGCTCCTCTCGCGCGAAGAACGGATAGAGGCGATCAAGCTCACTCGCAAGACATTGGATGAGAGTGGATTCCAGAATACCATAGTCATCGCCGGAACGGGTGCCCAGTCGACAAGGGAGACGAAGCAGTTTAATGTCGACGCAAAGGAAGCTGGTGCATCCCATGTCCTCGTCCTCACACCATCTACTTGGCCCCCACAGATGACCGTGGACAACGTGATCAAGTTCCATACCGAGGTATCTCTTCCGATTTCTGAGTGATGTATATGATGCATATGCATTCCAGGTTGCCGATGCCTCTCCCATCCCTACAATGATCTACAACTTTCCTGTTGTTACAGCCGGCCAGGATCTTGACTCGGACACTATTGCAACCCTTGCTGCACATCCAAATATCGTCGGCGCTAAGCTTTCTTGCGGGAACATTGGAAAGCTTCAGCGGCTCACTTCACGATTCTCACCATCTGTGTTTGCCGTCTTTGCAGGAAGAACGGACTTTTTCCTTCATAGTCTTATTTCTGGGAGTGCAGGGTTGATAGGTGCCTCCGTAAACATCGTGCCCAAGCTGCACGGGAAATTGCTACAGCTTTACCGGGAGGGGAACATAGACGAGGCCACGACGCTGCAAGCCAAGATGGGACACGCTGATTGGGCCGTGCAGAAGATCGGAGGGATCGGAGGGGTGAAGAGTATCGTTTCGAGGAACTTTAATTATGGTGAGACGGTGGTAAGGGCACCGCTCAAGCGAGTTGCCTGGGACGCTTTGACGGTGAACAAACATTATAGTGCAATAGAGGAGGTGATAGCGTTGGAAAAGGCGCTATGATGTCGAATTGTAAGAGAGAATTAAGCAGATTTCAAAACTCCATCGCATATCCGAAAACGAGTCCAGGTGCTTGAATGCTATCGCTGCATAAGCCCATGTCGAAGAAAACTGAACAGACTTACTGTCGACCGGGATCGAAGCATTTCAGCAGTATACATTGCTGCATCGTCTCGATCGTGACATTTAGAAAGCCATAAGGTTGAATCACTCATGAAGGAAAACGAAGGGCCGAGAGCGGGTTTTTTCGCAGTCCATTCAAAGGCAGACAATGAATCATCTCCTCGGAGAGCCGTAGCGTTGTTGATTACCTTGTTAGAATCTTAGGTTGCATGCGCACTGAAACGACCAATACACTCACAAAAACTGTTAAGGAGAGAGACTGAGCTAATGCTCGTAATTGTTGCATGAAGCCACTCATGATGGCATGTCCTTGGGATGAAACGGCGCTCAAATTAGATCCTAGTAGAGGAGTGATGCTATCGATGAAGATGCAGCCGAAGCGCTGCTGTGACATTGGGAGCGCCCACAGAACCTCGTAGACGGCCTCAATTTCGAATGCCTCTGAAACCTGCAGCCGGTCCAAGACATCTGAGGCCTGTTCTTTTGTTGAACACATGCGCATTGTCCAGGAAAGAGAATAAACTCACCTCATGGTCCATTGAAGCCTGAGTACGGTAGGCTCGTTCAGGCGAGAACTCGCCACGCGTGTCAATCCATAGCGCAATAGAGTCCCGTTGTACCTGCAAATAGCGGACAGCCAAATTCAACGCAAATGTCTTTCAGTTTATCAGTGCTAAGCAGGGGTATTTAACAAGAAACGTACAGTCTTTCCTGATGCACTGTCTCCAGAAATTTCAACTATTTGTGAGCTCGCAAAGCCATCCGTGAGAGCATCCAAATTAGCAACGCCAGTGAGTAGTTTTAAACGGGGAATATCCGGTAGGTCAGCAGAGCAGGACCCAGACGCAGAAAGTAGCTCAGTGACGCGTGCAATGAATGCACGAAGTTGCGACAGTGTCAGCACTTCGCGGGGTAGCTTTTGGTAGATGTCGAGAGCAGATTCGTTGAATAAGAGGTCCCTGTCCGTCACTATTCCGTTATTTTCGAATAGGGTGACGATTTCTTGGGAGATTGAAGGGACAAGAGTGCTTAAGCGCATCGAGGTACTGGAACAAGTCTCGGAAATGTCGGGCCGGAGGTCTCTCTGTCTTCAAAAGCTAAACCGTGTTACGTTACTATAGAACACAAGATCGAAAGGTTATATTTCATTGCAGTGGGTACAAAGGAAGAATATAGACCTCGGACTGAGAGGATGAAGGACTCAGAGCTCCGTGATATCATCGTCTGCGTATAGGCAATACTAGAAGCCAAGATTAAGTAGTAAAAACGACTGGAACCGGTGGTCACTCACTTCACCGTCAGGACCAGAATCAAGCTCCTCAGGCTTATCACCGTTGTTATCATTGCCTTTGTACCTGGAATTTGGGGTTAGAGTTACAACAAGAATAACAGTAACGGTATTCTCACCTCTCACAAATCGTGTCGACATCATCAACTTGGGTAGTCCGGATAGTCGCAGTGCTATAGTATCAATGTCGTAAGTGAACTGATTTAAGACGCCCTTATTATCATTAAGCGGTACAGTCAGACGGGGTGAGAAGCTTACGAGTTGATACCCGCAAGGACATCGCAAATATGCTGTCATGAGGTGCAGTAACGGATATACCTCGTCGGCTTCAGGATCGTACATGTACCACGTGATATGCACGTGCAGGATGCAAGTTAGAACCTACAGTAACATTGATGGCTGCCACTAGCTGGTTATCTTTATATAATTAAGTGCTCTGGTACGAGGACTTCATAGGTTCACCTACAGGCGACGCCACAGTCGTGGTCAAAATAGTTCTGTCTGATGATGGATCACTGAAAATGTTGGCTAATGAGGCGCAAGTGTACGACTCCCTACCCAGATACTTGAAGAAGACCTGGAGCGGATATCATTACATGGAAGAGGCTGAGTACGACGGCTCAGGAACCAACCCACTCCCAGCTGTAGTCTCTCAGTGCTACGGATATTATGTTCTTGCAGACCCAAAGGATCAAGAAATCTTCAGTTCTTTGCTTTTGGTGGAGGAGTGCGGTGAACCGATTCAGACTACCAAGTTGGAAGCATGCGACAGGTGGGGTGCGAGATACCATATTAATCAAGCGACTCAATATTACTGTGTAGGGAGCTGATCTTTTCTTTTGCCGTTCGTCTGCAACATGCCGGATTCGTCCAGGGATCTATCGCCCAGTGAAATATCCTTGTTCAACCGGGGCCGCTAAGTGCGCATCCTACCGAGCATTCCCTTTCTATGCTGGCATTCCAGATTATTGATTTTGGTCGTGGAGAAAACAAGAAGGAGATGTCGAAGGGTGGATGAGAGGCCAAACGCCAGCAAGATCTTCAGGGAACCAAAGACGTGATTTATGGCGAGCTTGTGTGCATCCGTACAGTCTTCACAAAGTTCTATGAGGGGAAGATCAATCAATGAGGTGCCAAGTATTATGCTCGTCTGTACTGGGAGCGCAAGCATACAGTATACATTCCTTACAGACCCCAGTAGAGAATACTATATTATTCAGTCAACATTCTCTAGATGAAGGTATTCCGCAATAACATTCTACCCATTACGATGGGATTTCGAATGTACGCTTATTGCGCATTAACACTACCGTCCGTGTAGCCACAAAACACCAAAGGATTACAGTTGCAACCGAATATATTGAACCCCACACGCGGAAGAATGTAGAGTCAAAAGTGCTTGCAAGGCTCAGAGTCAGATTCGCGTAAACTCCCTGCACGTGTGTGAAAAACGGGAGAAAAGGGACAACGGTAGACTTACATTTGGAAAAATGAGCCCCCACGTCTCCACTCTAAATGGAATACATGTCTGGCGCAGGATGTTTTGCACACCGAGAAGGGCAAAAAATAACCATCCCGACGCTAGTGCCCATAGCACGACAGAGATGATCGCGCAGACAACGTTGATGGATGCACCGGTAGTCTCGGCAGTGAGAAACTTGGAGGATCCGTAGGGTAGGGGTAGGACTGTCTTGAAGTATTGTCCAAGAAGTAGAATAGAATATCCCGCCTGGCCTGTTGGTCCGAGGGGTAAGAATGCAGAAGTTATCGTGGTGCCGGGTGGTAGGCCGTGAAGGATCAGGCGAAGTAGATATATAGTCAAAATCATCAAGGCCACAGATAGTCCTATGGATACCATGAAAATTGAAAGGGTGGCGGTGACCATCGCATGGTTCAAGGAATATTTGTATAATGACGAAGCTACGACACCGCCACCGGAGGATGTGACGATTAAGGTTATGACGGGAAGCACCCATGCAGGAGTCATGGTCTCCAGTGTGTGAGTATGGGAGGTTTTCCTGAGGTGGTGCTTAATACGAGGTGAGAAGGTGAAGCAATGGTATACTCACATGTAGTGGAGAATACCAAAACAGCAGAGGAAGGAGCATAGAACGTCTATCCACCAGAAAGACCAAAGGACATACATAAATGGCTTACCGCCAAAGTTGTAGTCCCCGTGGATGAGGCTAACTGCAATAGTAAGGATGGTGATGGACCCCATGGGGAAGGTACCCGTGTAGAGACTCTGAACGGGGTGCCGGACCATGATACCCCAAATTTCGGGGAACATAATGTAACGGACGAGAGAGACGAAGGCAAAGACGATGAAAAGAGATAGATTGAGGAAAAAAAAATGAGGGTTAAGATCTTCATGCCTTGGGAGCCCTTGCCGTATGGAAATGCATGGAACAGGATGTCGACTGCTCCGGTACCCATAACGACGGCGAACCAAGCTGGAATGAAATTTCTACGAAAACCAGAGGAATTAATATCATGGTCTGGTGGCGTGTAGAAAGAGGTTGGGTATATACCTGATAACATTGACAAAATGTTTGTCAGAATGGTAGGAACCTGCTGTCATGGAATACGAGCGTGGCGGGGAAGGTGGAACATTATGCATCAACTAAACACCGTTCCTTTTATTTGAAGCGAAGGCCACGGGGCCGTATAGATGACACTAAGTACGGAAAGGTCGGTTGAAAACGCGACACTGTTCAATTTTGAGCCTCTGACGGTGTATCACGAGGACCGGAATTTACGGTAGTTCCCGCCATGACGGCAATTTTTCACTCCTCTTTTATGTCACCAACGAGTGTCCTAAGTAATTTTTTCCCGGTTTAGAAATCGATAGACGGAAAGTATCGTGTACGGGGCATGAGAGAAGGCTGAGCACCTGGAGGTCTCCCAGCGAGTTGGAGGGAATCCATTGTAGAAAGATCAGACTCTGAAATATAACAAAGTAAGTATTAGATTGGATCCTCTATGTTCGATCTGTACAGTGCTTCCTTTTCACTTGGAGTGCAATACCACAAAACTGCTGATGAAGACACTCGTGAGATTTGGGCACATTATATCAATCTTGCGAAAATGACGTGCTTTCAGAGGTGTCCCGAAGTCATGAGTGTCAACCATTGGGATACCAAGGGAGTCATGTATTGACAATTATAAAGGTCCTGCTCTTGGTTTTATCCAGTGTCTGTTTCGTGAATATCCCTGACAGTTGTCCATTATCACAGCACTGATATAATCCTTACCGTCATTTGTATTGCAAACAGTACAGCACTGCAAGTCTACAAGAAATGTTTATGGGGTGTATAGCAAGATAAAGCTGGTGGTTGGTATTTCTCAGCGTAATTGTAACGCACAAGCGGCCTATTTGACATAGCTCGAGCATCGGAGCAACAAGATGTGATAGAAAAAGGCGGCCCGCTTTCTGTTGACGATGTCCTCGCCGGCGTACAGGCGGTCGTGGTCGGCATTAATGGAGTTCTCGGAGATCTCTTCTTCCCATTATAGTCATTGTTTTCCACGCTAGATCTCATCTTATCAGTCGGCACAAATTATCATGTGAAACCGGCAGTCACCCCCAGGCTGGATTCACTACTTGATCCCCAACTACTACTTGCATCGTCCACCGCCATGTCCGACCTCAAAGTTGACGGCTTCAAGGCGCGCTGCCCTCATTATCCACGCTAATTACATACTGACGCGTGACGTGTACCAGTCCTCTGCCTTCCTCGCCGCCCTTGGCTCGTCCTTTGCGGCGTACACCGACGCCGAGAAGAAGAATCAGATCAAAAAGGTGCGAGCATTCGTTACGTTCTGTCGTATTTGCTCTTAATATTTCCTAGACCAATGGTGTCTTTGAGCTGCAAGTGACGAACGGCGAGGGTAAGAAGGCAGTCTGGACCATCGACCTGAAGAAGAAGGGTGAGGTTACAACGGGGCCGCCTCCAACGAAAGCCGACATCATCATTACTGTTTCCGACGATACTTTGGCGGATCTGGCGTCAGGCAAGGTGAGTTCTGTACTTCATTGGCAGGCCCCCCACAAGCTGACGCACCTGCACTCCCAAGCTCAATGGCCAAAAGGCGTTCATGACCGGAAAACTCAAGACAAAAGGAAACATTATGCTTGCAACCAAACTTGACGCTGTGCTGAAGGTATATTCTCCTCTAATTAAAAATCAAAAACGTGTTCAAATTGTGCATAGGAGGCCAAAGCTAAGCTATAGTGTATACCGCTTTCTACCATCTCGCCGTACATACCGTCAGCGAGGATGAAATGTACCGCTCGTGAATTAGTGAGTGGGAGACATGAACACCGAACAAAAACAAAGTATAAGGCAATAAAATATCCACGTTAGAGTCATCAGAACATGCTTCCGAACAAACCACGCTGTCGACGCGGTGCTGACTGAGGATCTGCTCGAAGCGTTGACAAACTATTCAGCTGCTTCATGACCTTCGGGAAAATGAGCACCAGGTCATCGAATCATGTGGACTAGTCACCTCTTCCAATTTATCCTTCCGCTGCTGTAAATCTAGGTGCGCTCTCACTGCAGGGTTTTCACGCGCAAACTCGATGATTTCTTGGCGGTCGAGGTCATACAGTAGCCGAGAGTCTATTTCACGAGGAAACTGCAAAGGAGGTGAGATCCTGTCCTGTCACGAGGAAACTGACGTACCTGATAGAAGAACTGGTCCAATAATTCGATATTGATGAACATGGCCGACGTGTACGCCAGCTTGTCAGCCACAACATTAAGGAAAGCCTCAGGACAAAGAACATCGCTACCAGGCCCCGCCTTGCATCGCTTCGAACGTAAGGCTGCCAGACGCAATTTCAGGACGTTTAACCGGTCATTGTACAAAATGGCATGACGTGCTAGAAACGTCGTGAGCTTCCAGCCCGATACAAACATGGTCAACTCACCATCCAGTATCTGAGCAGGGGCATACTTGTAAGATTCTGGAGCCAGCTCAGGCTCTTCAGAGTCCGACTCCCACTTCCTGGCCTTCCTCTTCCTGTCTTCCTCTTCCAAATTCCTAACGTACCCAATCAACCCACCCAACCGTCGACTACCACCAGCCTTCTTCCTTAATTCTTTCAACTTCGTCTCGCACATACTCAACTCCTTCTCAAACAAATCAATCGCTTTCTGTCTGCCCTGCTCCCACTCACGGTCATCGACTTCGACCTCATATTTAAACGGCTTGATACAGTTCTCGACCTGATCTGACGTGACACCGATTCGATCTCTCAGAATCATGTGCGAGAACTGGATCAGCCTCTCCGCGGCCCGTGGGTGGTAGTTGAAAGGATCTGCTGATGCAATAGAGTCGATTAAAGCCCTTAGTCCGTCAGCGACAAGCAACGTCGAGTCTCGGCCAACACCTGACTTGGTCAAAAGCGACGATGCGGCTTCCAACTTGTGTCGCCAAAAACTGTCTACACTCTCAGGCTTCACGCGAGCGTCTGCTGCCAGTTCACCAAGCTCTGGTGCACGCTTATCGAGCCAGTAAAGTTGCTCAAGCACATCCATGACTTTGTCATCCAACATGCTCTTCAGCTTCTCCCGTATGATAGGCCGATGAAATTGCTGCGTGGCGTCCTTGAATCGTAGCTTTAGCGTGTCCATTGTCTCAGCGACGTATGACTCCGCTGTGATGCGTCGGTCGTTGTATTGTACCTTGAACTGATACGTCGCTTCTTCGAGTTCAAGTTGTACAGCGTTTGTGATGCCATGTAATGACGACGCCATGGACGACTCCAGAACCTCCATCAATCGGCGTCTCAGCGTATCTGTTCCAACCATTAAGGAAGACGAGCTACCGAAGATATCCCGGTGCGAAGCAAAGTAATCGCTCTCGGCCTTGCGTATCAGCGAGGTCGAGGTCTGCGCCCTTCCTTTGCTATCCGGAGATTTGGACACCACACCGACATATCCTAAGTGAAGGGGGTATCGATTACCAGACAAGATGGACGCGCCCTGCTCTGGTTCCACCAGATCCATCTTTGTTATCACGCCGATAGTGCGAAGGCCCAGAGGATCAACCTTCCGGCTGGCCCTCAGAGCAGGAGAGTTGGCAAGATCGACATCGGCAGCACAGACTGCCAGGATAATATTGGGTTCTTTGATGTACTTTTCACAGAGACCAGCGATCTTCTCTTTGAGCGATTCTGGCTGGTCCATAGAAGAAATTTGAACGTATCCGGGAAGGTCAATGAGGGTAAGGTCGGGTACGTTGGGAGAGTATATTCGCAGGTCGATAGGTTCATTGGAAACGGCTTCAGAAGTGGGTACGGCGAGGTTGAGCTCAGTGAGGGTACGTTGAATGACGTTAAAATCCTTTATTCTACCAAGACCCATCCCAGGGAATTCCCCGTATTCAACGGCCTTTCCATCGGCAGCAGGTATGTGGACCAAAGTCAATTCGATGGGTCGGCGCGTCACCATGTTATTACCTCTGTATATACATTAGCACATAACCAATATATGAACCGAAGGAAGACGTACTTGGGCAGAAACTCGTGTCCGACGATCGCCTCCAACACTGAACTCTTCCCAGAGCTCTGACTTCCAATGACCACAATACTCGGCAGCTTGAGCGCATCGCTCTGATCGATGCTGAGCAGCATACTGCGAATTTCTATCAGCTTTCTTGTCAGGTGCATGAGGCCATTCTGCCGGACGTCAAGAGTGGAAGGAGATTCGTCGTTGGGCGAAGACATGGTTGCAGCGACGAGGGCCGCGACCACTGCTTCGTCTGTTGGTGGCTTCTTGTTGGATTGCCTTTCGCTCTCGCCTTCACCACTGCCTTCCTTGCGTCGCCGCTTTCCAAAAAAGTCCTTAATAAACTTGGCAGCGCCGGTCTCTGGTATGTCTGGCAGCTTGACTTCTGAGACGCGAGACCGAACGGCCTTCAAGCTATCGCTTGCTGAGTCGAACATGTCGGTCGCGGTATCTTGTACGGTATTAAACCAGGCCTGTGACCGACTCCTCAGCTCTAAGAGATAGCTGTGAGCGTTCGAATACACGGATGCGACACGGTAACGCACCTTCAAACTTGTAATTCGCATACCCAAATCCCCCAGCCCCTATCGTCGCCCCCGCTATAGGCACCCGGAACGCCCTCGCAACAAATCTCGGTATTGAGGAGTACGAAATGGCGCGCACATGCATGCGACGGAGACTCTGGACGGGCGACGCATATCGATGTCGGAGGGACCCCGTTGCAAAAAAGGTAGTGAACTGGCGGTGTACAGGTCGTGGCAGCTCTGCATGTCGCCGCGAGGTGCTCAGTCCATATGTGACCGCTTTCTGGGCCTTGAGTACCGAAGACAGTGGTCGTCGTGTAACATGCATACCGGCGACAATATACGACGCCTGATGCCGCTTTGACTTTACCTTATTATGTAATACCCACAGTTGCCCCTGGCCCCTAACCCTAGACAGAATTGCTAACTGCCTCCACCATCACCCAAGCATGGGTTTGCTTTTCTCCTTCCCCATTCTGGGAGGCCTAAGTTCCATTGCGTCGTCATGCCTCGCTGGACTTGCCTTCTGCTGCACCTCGACAGCCGGTATGCAGGACTGTCTATTCGTCGTCCAGTACTTACACTGCAACAGCATCCATGTTCTTCAAGTCTTGTAACTGCAATTCATCAATAGCGACCCGTGTTGGATTTGCGGTATGGTCTATCCACTGTTTCTCGAACGATTCTTACTGTTTTCCCAGATAATCTTCTGTTTGAATTCAATACTCGCCTGGGTAATGAAGACAGACATTGCCATAAAGCAAATAGAGAAATGGAGCTACGACTACATCAAGATGGACTGCGAAGGCGATAAATGCTACGGCGTCCTGGCGGTAAGTCATATCATTAGGCTCCTGATGTTGTACTGACTCTGAAGCCAGGTGCATCGTATCTGCTTCGCTCTTGCTCTCGTCCATACCATCCTCGGTCTTTCGCTCGTCGGCGTTCGGGACACTCGTGATAAACGGGCTGCAATTCAGAACGGGTGCGTTTTCTAACCATCAATACAAGCATGTCTCTGACCTCTTTCAGGTGGTGGGGCCCCAAAGTCCTCCTTTGGTTGGTCTTCGTCGTCGTTTCCTTCTTCATACCGAACCCGTTTTTCATGTTCTGGGGAAATTACGTGTCTATGATTGGCGCCACTCTCTTCATTCTCCTAGGCCTGGTTCTCCTCGTCGATTTCGCCCATTCGTGGTCGGAAACATGTCTAGACAATTGGGAGAATTCTTCTACCGGCTCGAATTTCTGGCAGTGGGTCCTCATCGGATCTACCGCAGCAATGTACATCTTCACAATTACCATGACGGGCCTCCTGTACGGTTTCTTTGCTGGTTCAGGTTGTACGCTCAACCGCTTCTTCACATCGTTCAACCTGGCGCTCTCAATTGTTGTCACAATCATGTGTGTTCACCCGGTGGTCCAAGAGTACAATCCCAGATCTGGATTGGCGCAATCAGGGATGGTTACTGCTTACTGCACATACTTAATTGTGTCTGCTGTGAGCAATCACACCGATGAAAACCAGTCGTGCAATCCGCTGAATAATGGGACCGGAACACGTACAGTTGCAGTTGTTCTTGGTGGCGTTTTTACTTTTTTGGCCATTGCATATTCAACCACACGCGCTGCCACACAAAGTCGGGCTTTGGTTGGCAGCAAGAGCAAGAAGACGGGGCCCGTCCATTTGTCGGGAAGTGACCATCTAGATGGCCATGCAGAGATGGGCGTCGTGAACACGCAACCTAGTCGTACAGAGTCACCGCGATATCAAGCATTGTTAGCTGCAGTCGAAGCCGGGTGAGTTACGTCGTACCTAGGCGGATTCTTGGTAGCTAATGCCGTACGATCAGAGCAATCCCAGCATCGGCTCTCGACGAAGAAGAGTCGGATGATGAAGAAGAAGCTGTCGGTGAAACGCGGGATGATGAACGTTCAGGAACTCGTTACAACGTAAGTTGTTTTCAGTGTTTCGCGTTTCTTGCTGAACTTCTTTTCCAGTATTCCTGGTTCCATGTTATTTTTGCAATGGCGACGATGTATGTAGCCATGCTACTGACGGACTGGTGAGTAACGTCATTACGCTGGCAGCAGAGGTCTCAACGGACTCTAGGAATATCGTATCCAGCAAACCGATATCGACACCTGTGGATCCAAACTCGGACGTATACATAGGGCGGTCTGAAGTGGCGATGTGGATGCGAGTCGTGTCTAGCTGGGTGTGCATGCTGCTGTACATGTGGAGCCTTCTTGCGCCTGCAATCATGCCTGACAGGTTTGCCGAGGATTACTAGGGACTGTACTATATGTTTTCTGGATACATTTTATGATACATTGAACATAAATTGACGAAACATCGCAATACTATTGGACAAGGTGTCGGCCGAAAGTCCGAACTAGTCTTTATTTACCTTTTGCAAGACGCGACCTCGACAAAAATCATCTGTTTGGCAATGCCAGCCCTCTGCTCTCGTGTCCAGCCTTGGGTACGATGGTTGCAATACCGCACGTTTGCCACAACGGTGGCCACGCCTTCGAGGACGCCGCAGACGGTCATCGAAAAGGTGGTGCAGCGATATGCAGTTGGATTTCCTGAAGGAAAGGCAGTCAAGGCGGGCGACTACGTGATGATACGCCCAGAGCATGTCATGACCCACGACAACACTGGACCCGTCATCACTAAGTGTGCATCCCTCTTTTCTTCGCCTCGACCGCCGCCTGACCGCAGAGCAGATTCAAATCCATTGGGGCGACCAGGATTCATAATACTTCCCAGCCTGTCTTCACTCTCGATCACGACGTGCAGAATAGGTCGCAGAAGAACCTCGCAAAGTACGCTAGCATCGAGACCTTTGCCCGGCAGCATGGTATCGACTTTTATCCGTCTGGCCGGGGAATAGGGCATCAAGTCTTGGTCGAGGAGGGATACGCCTTCCCTCACACCCTCACCGTCGCCAGTGATAGCCATAGCAACATGTACGGCGGCGTCGGATGCGTCGGCACACCTATCGTTCGAACAGATGCTGCAGCGCTGTGGGCAACGGGAAAGACATGGTGGCAGGTCCCGCGAATGGTCAAGGTCGAGCTACGCGGATGCCTGGCTCCTGGTGTAACAGGCAAGGATGTTATCGTTGCATTGTGCGGATCCTTCAACCGTGACGAAGTCCTCAACGCTGCCATCGAGTTCACAGGAGACGGTATTGCAGCCCTGAACATCGACGACCGCCTCACCATTGCCAACATGACTACAGAATGGGGCGCCTTGGCTGGCGTATTCCCCGTCGACGACGTCACGTTGCAATGGTACGAAGATGCGGTGTCAAGAATGGAGGCACGAACATTTACCTCTCCCTCGGATCCTTCATTGATTCCTCCACCTCCCGACCATCCCCGTCTGAACTGTCAGCGCTTGAATTCTCTTCGTGTTGCAAACATCACATCAGACCCCAACGCTGAATATTCTTCGCATCTCATATTGGACTTGTCTACCCTCGTACCCCATGTATCGGGTCCCAATAGCGTCAAAGTCTCGACTCCTCTTCCGGTTCTCCAAGATGCGCAGATCAATATCCAGAAAGCATACCTCGTCAGCTGCACAAACTCCCGAGTATCCGATCTCGCAGCAGCAGCAGCAGTTCTGAAAGGACACAAGGTCGCTCCAGGCGTAGAATTTTACGTCGCGGCTGCCAGTTCTGTGGTTCAGCAGGAATCCGAACGGTTAGGTGACTGGGAAACGCTCGTTTTGTCTGGCGCAAAGGTTCTCCCGGCAGGATGCGGTCCTTGTATCGGGCTCGGAACCGGGTTATTGGAAGAAGGAGAAACGGGTATCAGTGCAACTAACAGGAACTACAAGGGACGGATGGGACATCCAAAGGCACAGGCATATCTTGCTTCTCCCGCCGTTGTTGCAGCCAGCGCTATCAAGGGGTACATATGTAGTCCCGATTCCTTGGATGCTGATGCTCTGCCGAAAACTAATGCGCCCACATTCTCTCTATCTGATGTCCCACCTGTCACAACTACTGTTTCATCCGCGGCTGAGAATCCTGTTCTCCCAGGGTTTCCGTTCAACTTTTCTGGCCCACTTCTTTTTGCACCACAGGATAACCTCAACACCGACGGCATATATCCCGGAAAGTACACCTACCAGGATGATATCACCCTAGAGCGGCAAGCTGAGGTGGTGATGGAGAACTACGACCCATCCTTTGCCTCCACTGTGTCTTCCATTCTTAAGACCCAAAAAGGCTCTCCTGCCGAACCAACCGAAAAGAAAGGCGTCATTCTTGTGTCGGGGTACAACTTTGGGACAGGTTCCTCTCGCGAGCAGGCCGCGACAGCACTAAAAGCCGCTGGTGTGCCTGTTGTTATTGCGGGTTCCTTTGGTGACATCTTCAAGCGGAATGCGATCAACAATGGGCTGGTGTGCCTTGAGAGTCCGGAGCTTGTCAAGGACCTCAGTGAACAGTATGCCAAGGGTGGTCGACGAGGCGCAGGCGGAACTGATGGCGAGCTGACCGTCAATAAAGGTCTGTCTGTCGACATCGGCATGATAGATGGCAAGATGGTTGTGACTTGGGTCTCAGAGGGTCAGAGTAAGACTTATCACGTCAGGCCCATAGGCGCGAGTGTGCAGGAGCTGTGGATCTGTGGAGGCCTGGAGGGATACATCCTTAAGGAAATACAGGCCCGAGCGTAGTGAAAAGCATCCAATTGTATGTATCCTCCATTAATTTCGACGAATCTTTATGTTGTATCCATAGAATTCAGCATGTGGCAAAAGTACAGATGAGTTGTAGATAAGTAAATTCAGCATACACCAGTCCAATTTTGGGATCAGAGGTATCACAGGAAGGGGTTCCATACACTACGAACCGAATTCTTGGGTGTAGTAGCAATGTCAAGCCTTGTATCGGGACAGAATTTGTCTTTCAAGACAGCGAATTTGGAGTTATACTCATCGATACCTATGTACGCACCGCACATACGTCGCTTGCCATCAAACGATGAACGCCCATGAAGGACACGGTGGTTATTGACCACAACAGCTGTTCCAGGCGTCAGTTGGACCCAGTACTCTGAGTCTGGGCTTGTCAAATTTTTGTTCCACTTTCTGATAGCATCATACCACTGATCAACGACGAGTGGATCAAGATGGTTCATGACGCTCCGATCATCGTTGTTCCAGCGTACTTGGGAAAGCTCGCCTGTAGCGAGATCGTGATTCAGGACAGGGCGTGAGGCGTGATATAAGTGTTCGGCCTCTCCCGCAGCGTGCGCTGGAACAGGTACATGAGAGAGTAGCGAGTAAGCTTCGGGATGGAGTTCTTTCAGGATCGAAGCAACGTAGAATCCGTCTACGAGTAGCGTTGCACCACCGGAGCCGTCAGTATGTGAAAGGAGATGGAATAGTTGTAGACCACAGGGATCAGTCTACGTTGTTCGTCAGCAGCAGGAAACAGAAGAAGAAGGAGACATACAAAATAGGTGTTATCAGTGTGGGCACCAAGTGCCAATGTGGTGTATGCCGTGTCGCCTCTTGCAAGGTCGGAGGTAAAGTCCCAGAATTTTCCATCTGTGGGTGGTCAGCTTGATATGCGAAGAATACAAAAAAGAACATACACTGGGTCTCGCGGATGAAGCCGATGCGCTCCGAGAGCTTTTCCGTCGCTTCTGTAGTCTGCGGAACATCCGATACGAATGAAAATCCAAACTTGTCAACGTTGGATAGCCATCGAAAGAGACCAAGTTCGTCGTTTGCCATGACTTCCTCGTAGGTAACTGCCGGCGGCGATTGCTGTATTTTCGCACCCCATAGTATTTTTCTATGGATGATGAGGACTGCAGTGAGCAGTGGAGTTGTAGACGGCTCACCCAGATAATGGTTCTGTCTTGCGAAGTGGAGGATCATACGAATTTTCTTGTAGCCACGACCACGGGTAGACAGAAACATGTGCCGGCCAGATCACCTGTAGTCCATCCGGCCTGGACTCAACAGACAGTGGCCTGATATCGGCAGGTATATCGAAAGTGTTTACGAGCCGCTGTTTCGTGGCCGCATGAAAGCATCGTTCACATCGACAATGATCACGAAGCCATATATGATGACTGGAGAAGTGATAAGCCTCGGCAGAAGGTGTAGGGGACAGGCGACGTACAATCGAGACCATGTTCTCGTATCCCATCCTATCGCGACTTTGCGGTCGTCCATACTGGTGATAGGCAGATCATCCGTCGATACATTCGGCAGAGGCTGGGGCTCTTCGACGAAAGCTGGTGGTTTGGAGCGTAGCATCGCAGCAGATGCCGCGGTTCTCGACGACGCCCAGCGATACATAGGCAATTTTTTGGAACACTATGATATCAATGAGAAATTGTAACCCCCATCCAAGAATATCCTACCGAAAGGCACCCAGTTAACGAGCGACTCTCGAGGCGTAGTGATTGCTTTGCCAGACGAACAAGTCGAGCAGACCACATAATTGACGAGCACGTCGTAGACGATGGGAAACGATGGTGATGGTCGAAGCCCAAGTGACACCCAGGCTTTTCGGCAAAATTGGACATCGATATCACTGCCTACGGCCCGTCCCCCCCGCTCAATCGAACGAAATATATAACACAGAACTCCTAGAAATTTATGGTACAATCGTTATAGTACAATCGCGTTATAGCAAAGAGATACCGTCAAATAAAAGATGCCTACTCTTTCCTCTGCTTCTTCCCGTCGCCTTCCTTCACGTCTTCATCCTCGCGCTGCCTCTTCTGGCCAGCATGAGCGCCATTCCTGACAGCCTCTATTTCGGCTTCGATTCTTTGTCGATTCATTCGCTCCTCTTCCCACATCTTTCGCATATCCTCAAGCTGGGCTTGCAAGTCCCCCATCGCCTGATCCATCAGGAGCTTCTCCAGCGTCCATTTCTCGATATTTCTGGCCTCGTTCTCCTTGAGGTGGTGAATGTATTGCACGGCGCGCGACAGGATTGCGCCTTTAGCTTTCTCACCAGACCCGTTGGGAACGATGCGACCGAGTTCATTGATGCCTTCGTTGATATTACCACGGCGGCGGCGCTCGACTTCTTTCTGTATTGATCATCAGAGAGAGACGTCGGCGGGCTGAGGAATAGGCTTACATGATTGTCTTTGCGTTGCCTCGTCCACTCGTCACTTCCCATTGTAGCACCGCTCTTTGATCGTCTCCCACCAAGGTTAGGATTGGGGCCCTGATTAATAGGCGGAGCGTTCTCGGGTTGTGGGGGAGGCGGGGCGGAGACTTCACCCTCATCGCTCGCTTCCTCTGTTTCTTTCGGCTGTCCTAAGTTAGGGGGACCTCGAGGATGCGATGACGGACCAGGGTCAGTGATCCTGGGTCCAGGAAAGCCAGGGATGGCACCGACGAAGCCCTGCTGTTGGGCTAAATTGGATAAAATCTGGGCAGCATCTGCCTTGGGACCTTGTTCGGCGACCTGCGTTGAGTGTCAGAGTCCAGAAAGGTTTATTTAATAAATGTCACATGAGGAAAGGTGTGTTCGTCGGAGGCGTGATGACCACGATCACGTGTGGGATACAGGGCGCAACGAAGGCAACATGAGGACCCCCGACGTTGAATAATAGACGGAAGGGTACTAGAGTGGAGAAATGACCAAGGGAGGAGCATACCTTGAACACTGGCAAATTACTTAACAAGGAGAGAATCTGCTCCCTGCCAAGTCCCAGAGAACTCAAATCTGGAGTAGCAGCAGGAGCGGAATTCGACTGGGAGGCCGGTTGCCCAGTCAACGTTGGGTCTTGGTTCGCTGCGGCCTGGGGCATCTTTTTGACTAACAGAGGAGAATTATTCCGTTTCTGCAGTGGTTCGTTTGCTGCAGCTCAATAATTGTTCGTAACGAATCCTCAAAACGCTATAGTAGAATAATTAATGTCTGCATAAATATGGCGCTCGACGAATAAGAAGTGACCTGAGACTTGGGACCGCCCGGCGGAAGAGAATAAAAAATTGGAATCAATGCAGAATCGTCAGGAGACTACTGCAGCATCCACAAACAGATATAGTATGCTTGCTCGCTGTTGGCGACGGTGAGCAGCTTATACCGGTCGCGTCGAGATAAAGTGGGGGGGGTGATGACTTTTAGAGGGCGTCACATGGGAATCACGCCTTTTGTGAGACCACGAGAAGGACCCCGGATACTAGAAATATCTTCCCACGTGCGTCATTCTTCTCCTGGGACTTTAAGTATCTTTACATGTGCTTGCTCTATGAAAAAAAAAAAAAAAAGATATTTCCAAGATATCTAGTAGTATTCTCTGACAATCTGCAAAAAAGGAATGCAATCTGTCGTTCCGAGGGTATTCTGGGTCCGTATACTGACAATATCGAGTATCCGTAAGATCTGGGAAAATGAACGGGTAGACCGTTATATAGTAGCTTCCTGGGCATAAGGGGGTGCCATTGCGTTGCCTCAAGGGGTTACTTGTGGAGGAACCAAATCAATAGCAATTTTTCCCTTCCTGCAGGGAATATTGCCCTCGTTGCATAACGTTAGAAGTATTTGTGCTTCCATACAGGAACTTACGTTATGCCGAGAATGGTATTTCGGCAATAGGCGGTCCGAGTAAATATTCTTTCGGCCGAAAAGCATGACTCGAAAATATTTTTCAGTTCAAAGCTAAACTCTTGAATTCAACCCATCATGGCCTCCCTCGCTACCCGTTCCGCCTCTCAAGTTCTCCGTGTAGCTTCTCGTCGTGCTCCTCGTGCAGCTGCTGCCAAAAACGTGCTAAAGTCCATCCAGACAGCTTCCTATTCTCTGCTCGCAAACGTTGCGACAAAACCTGTCCAAAAAGCAAATATCCAGGTCTTTTTTCATTTTCATGCTTCGTCTGATGCTAAATGATTCATTTTTCAGGGAGTCCGTGGTGTCAAGACCCTCGACTTTGCTGGTACAAAAGAGGTCGTGTACGAGCGTAGCGACTGGCCCTTGGCAAAGCTCCAGGATTACTTCAAAAACGACACTCTCGCTCTCATTGGATACGGCTCTCAAGGCCATGGACAAGGCTTGAATGCCCGTGACAATGGTCTCAATGTCGTCGTTGGTGTTCGAAAGGATGGTGAGAGCTGGAAACAGGCTATCGCTGATGGCTGGGTATGTGGTCGCTTTATAGCTGTCCACTTTTCTGACACGCTCCTCTAGGTCCCTGGTGAAACCTTGTTTCCCATCGAGGAAGCCATTAATAAGGGTACCATCATCATGAACCTTCTCTCCGATGCCGCGCAATCGCAGACATGGCCCACCATCGCGCCTTTGATCACCAAGGGCAAGACCCTCTATTTCTCTCACGGTTTCTCCGTCGTGTACAAGGAGGATACCAAAGTCGTCCCTCCCTCCGACGTTGATGTCATCCTTGTCGCTCCAAAAGGCTCGGGCCGTACCGTCCGGACCCTGTTCAAGGAGGGTCGTGGTATCAACTCTAGCGTTGCTGTCTTCCAAGATGTCACCGGAAAGGCCAAGGAGAAGGCTATTGCTCTCGGCGTCGGTATTGGATCGGGATACATGTACGACACCACCTTTGAGAAGGAGGTCTACTCTGATCTCTATGGTGAACGCGGTGTGGTCAGTTATATTTCTTTTTCGTAGATGCGACGCGACTGATATTATCAATTGATTACAGTTGATGGGAGCCATCCGTATGTCTTATCTATGCTTCACATCACTCTATGATCTAACATCGTAACAGAGGGTCTTTTCCTTGCTCAATACCAGGTTCTCCGCAAAAACGGTCACACGCCATCGGAAGCTTTCAACGAGACCGTTGAAGAAGCCACACAGTCTCTGTACCCTCTGATTGGACAGAAGGGGTAAGCCGATTTCAGCGCGTCGGCATTTCCCTGCTGATGAAACAATTCGCTTAAAGTATGGACTACATGTACAACGCATGCTCCACAACAGCGCGTCGTGGCGCTCTCGACTGGGCGCCCGTCTTCGAAAAGGCCAACGTCCCTATTTTTGAGCAACTGTACGAGAGCGTAAGGAATGGCACGGAGACTAGGAAATCCCTCGAGTTCAACGGCCGCTCCACCTACCGCGAAGACCTAGCCAAGGAGCTTGCCGTCATCAACGACCAAGAAATTTGGAGAGCCGGTCCGTCTGTTCCGTCTCTTGTTCGTTTCAATTGTTCTCACGAGCATCTATCTATTTGCAGGGAAGACGGTTCGATCACTGCGTCCTGACTACAAGGCAGATTCAGAGTAGACTGTTCACATCGTCTATCCCAAGAGCCTCACCGGCGACATGGTTACTCCCTCATGGTGCAGGTATCTTATGTCGAGTCTTGTATGAAGTATACTGTCAATCTATCTACCGGAAATGCAAGTCGGTCATTTTGATGGAGCCTAGAGGGAAGAATTGCAAGTGTGGCTGGGATGATGCTCAAGTAGTAGGACGGGCCGATTCCAGGTGTATAAAAGCCAGACTATTCTTTAATCATCTCCCATCATCTCCTCATGGCTAGCCGTGTATCATCTCTCTTCCGTTTTCTGTCCCAGAACCCTCCGGATGTTCACCGCGAAGAAGCTTCCGGCCGCAGCATCCACAGTGAAGGTGGTCGTTCCTCCAACATTAACTCCTCCTATCTATCTGGGTCCCAGCATCAGTCCTTCTGATGTCCAAGACAAACTCTCAATCAACCGGCGACTCAAGCAAACGATTGAAGAGGCAAGGGAGCGCAGTACACTAATTAAACGGGACATCTCTAACCTTGAAGCCACCTTGCGAGATCTCTCGGCTTTTGCACCGTCTCGTTCACCTGGGTTCGAGCTTGAACTACCGAACGTCTGGCCAACTCCCCAGTGCTCCTACAAGCGAAGCATTTGGGCACTCACGCCCGCCGAGGTCCACTACAACGGAAACCACTTGCTAATACCTCCCCTCCCGCCACTGGTACGGTACAAGATCGTACCCGCTCAGCGATCATCAGGGCCAGGACCGTGCGTCGCCCCACACAGCGCAAGTACTGTCCAGAAGCATGTGTCCGGAGCTCCGACAAGATCACCACGAGTTTCTATGAGTCCGCAAGTGTTTGCTCCCCGAGTTGATCTGTCGCCGATGCTCTTTCGAACCCAACCCCAACCGATTTCCACACCGGGTGTGACGTTCGAAGAGAATGTGGCCATGCGCTCACCTCGAACCCCGCTAGCGACCCTACGCCACGAAGTTCGAGTCCTTCCCAGTCAAACGACCGCCCCGGTTGTATCAAGAACAGGAAAGTATATTATACCTCCCCGTAGACACAATCCCCAAGTGGAGCCAACCGCAGAGCCTGGGAGTGAGCGATTTAGCGATTCGATCTCTGGCAATAGAACGTCTTACGCTTGACAGAACCTTGTTCGCTACTAGTATCATCTCAGTCTCAGAACGCAGTGCGTCGTTCTGGTGCACAGTCCAGGGGTGCGACTAGCTGCCACTTTCTTCTGAAAGACACGGTGCTGATCTGATACGTAGATTCTCCCGCACCAGCATCAACCGCAGTGCAAACCACGGGAATGACGACCGCTTTGCTCCTCAAACGAGACTATTTGAAGGACAGGTTGCTCGAGGACTGTCAGAGCTTGAAAAACCCTAGACTGAACGATCCTGCATCCCGCAAATATTATTCGCTCTACATCGGACGGCTTCCCAAGGGAATCCGACTGACGGTGCGTGGAGTACCTATATACAACGATGTGGTGGGGTGGCGAGCCTTTGTATATCTTCGACCGTCGGCAGGGCTACGCATCGAAGATTCGGGTGCTCCGCCACACACTCTGTTTCTAGAGGGATTTATAACCCTATTCTCAACGGCTGATGCATACCTCGCTATCTGTAAGTGCCTCCGTCTCAAGTGCAATCAAACTGGAGTGCTGTCGAGCTACAAGGGACCACTTGTGGAAGAGAATATGATTGAAGAGATAGCAGAGCATCTCAACAACTGTGGTGCTACTGTCTCGTTTGCTTTGCAGTATATACGCCCTTTTGTGATGGAGCTGAAGAGACAGCGAGGCATTGAGCAGGGTTATTAAAGTAGAAAATAAAATAATTATAATCATGTCGTTTCGTCGGCTTGCGCTTACATTTCCGCCGGTTGAGACAAGTTAACCGGTGCCGGTGACTCTCAGGCTCTCGCTTATAACCTGATGATGATATATGGCAACCATCCTTCGTGTCGACGGCCATGGCAAAGGGCAGCGGATACGACCAAGTACGACAAATTGACAGCAAGGACTATGCAAAGACTGTCAACGCTCGTCTTGACAGTATACGCTCACACTTCACTCAGGCGCCGAGAGCAGGGAAGCTAAACAACAAAGTATGCATCATCACCGGGGTCGGGTCGCTGAAGGGTATTGGGTGCGTATCGTCGACTTGTATGCTCTTGCAGCTCCCATCATTTATATACTATAGACGGGCCTCGGCGCTGTTGTTCGCGCACGAAGGTTAGAGATGATATCCAAGCACAAGTCCACTGGCTAACCTAATTACAGGCGCCAAGCATCTCTACCTCATCGACTTTGATCCTACCAACCTTTCTAATCTCAAGGAAACGATTGAGACAAAGTATCCAGACGTCAAGGCTACGACATTGCAAGCGGATGCCTCAGACGAAGCTGCGATTTTAGGCGTGTGCAATCAAGCATTGGAAGAGGAAGGCCGCTTGGACGTGTTTTTCGCAAATGTAGCCTCTCAGCATTTCGCCCCATGTTATCGGCCTCATATTCACACAGGCAGGCATCGCATCCATGAAACATGTCTCCCAGATAACCACCGAGGATTTCATGAATACCATCAAAGTCAACTCACTCTCGTCCGTCAGACCCTCTGTTGCAATGATGCCTTGACATTTATCACTATACTAGATGCTTTTTGGCAGTCAAGTATGCTTCCGCCGCAATGAAGAAGACCAATCCATCCAAAGGCAAACAGGTGAGCTCAGGGAGCATCATTCTCACCGCATCCGGTAAGCCTACGTGACAGAATCTAACAAAGCATACCTCATCCCATTTATAGTTGCTGGTATACGCTCCGGTGCTGGTCCCGTGGATTGTAAGTCTTGATCACAATCACCGTGTCCAGCAGGTATAATACTTCCCCGCCAGACAGCGCCAGCAAGGCTGCGTAAGCTCATCCATACAGCTTGCTATGCCACGCCTAATCATCCTCCTCAAAGTGTCAACTCTATCGCCAAGACTTCGTCCTATCAGCTCCAAAAAACAGATATCCGAGTAAATTCCGTATGCCCCGGTCTCATTGAGACTGCGATGACGACCACGACTTTCGATTTTGCGAGGGGCAAAGGCACTGATAGTAAGCTGGGACAACTTAGTGCGCTTGGTCGCTATGCTATCGCCGAAGGTATAGATTCACCATCTCCAATTATACTGGCCCTAATTTTGATGTATTAGAAATCGCACCATTGGCTGTGTATCTTGCTTCAGGTACACCACCCTTTTAGTCACTGTCTGGTTGGATTCTGAAGATGATAAAATAGACGACTCCAGCTATGTTAATGGACAAAATATAGCCATCGACGGGGGTCTTTCGGCATCGGTTCCTGTCGTTCCGGGACGATGGACGTAGTAGGATGGTATTTGGTATTTATGACTTCATACATACAATACGCTCTAGTGTGCGATATCGGTCGATACCGCAGTCGGCTGGTCTACATGCAACGCGCAGGAGTAGTCGTTTTTTTTTTCCACCTACATCATGATGAATGTTGCTGTAGTATTGTCCAAATTCTGTCTTCAAGAGAACGCAGAACAGCTGATGAGGTGTTCAAACTCGTCATAAAGTACGCCACGTCACCCAGTGTACGGAAATGCACACCGAACGGGGCTCCCCCAGGTGCTGCAGAGAAGCCGTTCCCTCCGTCATCATGTTGATCTATCGGACGAAACACGATCTCTGCTGAATGTGAACTGTACCCTGAGAGGAGGGTCAACAACTATACGAATAGGAAAAGGATTTAAAATTTCGAGCTCACCTGCAGCGTCGTCTCGGATCTTAATCGCAAGCACCGTCCCTAGAGTCATTACCTCTGCCACATTATCCATCCTGGACACTGTCTCTATAAACATCGGATCCCAGAAACTCCAAACAGAGTCACCCTTGCTCTTCCACTCAGCGCGAGCCTCCTTCCACGCATCACTCCTCGAAAGACTATCAATCATCTTCAACGTCTCGTTCGCGACCTCGCACCCCATCGCATGAGCTGTATAGGAGTGGCCATGAAGAAGTGCATCCGCTTTCTTGTCACTGAGGAATGCCTCATAGATCGAGTTTGAAGCCAGGGTCACCGCGAGAGGCAGTAAACCACCCGTAAGGATCTTAGCGTTGACGGAAATATCGGGACTGACGCCAAGGATAGAGGTGGTGCTCTCCATACCGATTCGATATAACCCGACGAAAACCTCGTCGAATATGACTGGGAGACCTGACCATGAAGATGATGAGGGTCCACGAACAACGTCGATCAGGACCCGCTGGAACAAGGGATCAATGAATAGCATCCCTCCTGCTCCCATGACCAAAGGCTCCAACACGAGGGCGCCGAGCGTCTGTCCTTTACGCCTGAGGGTTTCCAGCGTTTTCTCGATATGTCCCTTGTAAGAGCGCGCAAGGGGCGTGCCCAACCTAGCAGAGACGTCGTAAACCCAGGCCAACGAGTCGCCCTGGATGGTCGATGTTTCCGAGGTAATTGCGGAAGGAACGGATATTACAACTTTCCCTTGACGCATGGAGACCGTAGGGGGATCGAGCCAATAGCCTTTCGCATGATGCCACTCGCACGTATAAACACTCTCCTCACAGGCATTCATCGAGCCAATAGTGTCCCCGTGGTAGCTCCCTTTCAACCCGAGGATGCCTAATGACTTCTTTTGTGCGTCATCAAATTCCCTTCCTTCCCGGACTGTGAACGCACGTAAAGCCATTTTGAGAGCAATCTCCATTCCAGTCGAGCCATCATCAGAGAAAAAGGCCTTCGATGCCCATCCTTTGCCTGGGCCATCCTTTACCAATCGCTCGGCAAGCCGGAGAGCAGGGAGATGGGTGGCTCTGGGGAACATAACATGTCCATATCGTCCACTCGCCCTCGCAGCAGCCAAAGTAAGAGCAGGCTGGGTGTGGCCAAAAGCTTGTGTCCACCAGGACGCCGATCCATCAAACTGGGGCTGCAAAATGGAGGACGACGGTGAAGATTGGTGGAGGACGGTGAAGAAGTCCGAGTACGCGCTATCAATGACATTGACGTCTTGTTCTGTTTGATAATGTGAATGCTGGACGAATGGCCACCAGATTGAGTCGAGGGTACGACGGGGCATTGATTCTAACTCGTCCAACCTATTCTTGTGACAAGTATCCAGGTGCTCGATGCTCGATAAAATACCGTTTTCGTCGTCCTTAGTGAGGAGAGAATGATAATATTCTTCAGTAGACGCGTGATTCTGGGACGTATTGGGAAGTAAGGGAGGAGGCGCGTTTACAGTTGAAACATGTACTCCACGATCGGCAAAGTATGGCTTCAAATATTCCCAGTTGCGATAATACTCATCGCGGAAAAGCAGGATAGCATCGACCAGGAAACCGCGGAGGACAAGTGATTCGTAGGCAGAAATAGTGGACGAGATGCCGCCCAGCTTGGAATCGCCGATTAGAATGGTGGGAAGAAAAAGAGGCCGGTAGCAATCCAGTTGCGTCGTGCCGGAAAGAGTAGGACTATGTACGCCTGGAACCAAGCGTTAGCACAAGGTAAGAAAACGTGAACAGACGAGAAAAGGCAGGAAATTATGTGCCGACACTCACTGTCCAAAGATTAATTCTCACCTCCAGCGGTTTCCACGTACATGTGGGAAGGATACGGCGACGCTGTAGCGCACTGTCTAATGTGATGGGCAATAGAGTTCACGACCGTCTGGTCTGAGGGAATCTGGAGGGAAATCAGTCCACAGATAGCCGCCACTCAATAGCAATCTATACTTGGGTTTCATCGTTGCCGGTTGCGAGACTGGCTGCGAGGTGTGGGCTCACAGGTTCTTGGTACTGGTACAGACAATCTGCATGGATACGATCTTTGAAGGAACCAGAATACCGTTTTATATGCCTGGATAGAATGCATTTAGAAAGAATGACGAAAAAAAGCAAGTTACTTACTCGACATCAGCACTCTTGACGTCGCCGGTACTAACCGGCTTCAAATAAAAGACAGATTTTCCAGCTGCCGCCGATGCTCGAGCCAGCGCCGACGTCAATATGGTTTTTCCAACGTCTGTATTCGCGCCAAACACTTGGTGGACGCGTAGATGCTTGAAAAGAAGTGACATCGACCGCCTGGCGTCGTCGTAGTCGGAGACAAGGGAAGATAAGATTAGATGCAAATTTTAATCTTATCGTGACCCGAGTTTCTTTCCTTTTTTTCCCTTTCCTTTCCTTCCCCCCACCACCATGACCATCCTTGGCCTCCCGGAATCATTCAAATCAACGGGCCCGGCCCATTTCGACATTGAAAAGGTCATCCGACCAAATATTCTGTCCTTGCACCCGTACCGTTGTGCCCGAGATGACTACAAAGAGGGAATCTTGCTCGATGCAAACGAAAATGCCCTGGGGCACTCTATGTCACCTGCAACCGATGAATCAGAGATAAATACTACCCTTGAGCTCAATCTTCACCGGTATCCTGACCCATCCCACGATCCCATAAAGGAACGAATAGCAGCCATGCGTTCAATCCCTGGCGTTGATCATGTCTTCCTCGGCGTGGGCTCAGATGAAGTCATCGACCTCCTCATGCGTGTCTGTGTCGCGCCGGAGCGAGAGAAGATCCTGATTACCCCGCCGACCTATGGCATGTACGCTGTCTGTGCTCAGGTGAATGATATCGGCATCGTCAAGGTCCCTCTTGAGCTAAGTGGTGCCAAAGGAGAAGGCGGAACTGCTGGACGGTTCAGCGTGAAGGTTGACGAAGTATGAGTGTTTTCTGCTGTAATGTGTTTAACACTGATCTGATTACACTGAACAGGTTAAGAAAGCAGTAGATGCGGATCCTTCCATCAAACTGATTTTCTTGTGCTCCCCCGGAAATCCTACAGGAACCCTCATTCCTCTATCCTCTATACGGGAAATACTTGATTATCCAGGCTTCAAGGGCATCGTCATTGTAGATGAAGCCTATATCGATTTCGCCGGCGCTGGTGCAAGTGCAGTATCTCTCGTCAGAGAATACGCGAACTTGTGCGTTATGCAAACCGTCAGTAAAAGCTTCGGTCTTGCAGCTATTCGGTATGCCTATGCCTTTCTATCCATACATCTAAGGCCAAACTCACCGCCTGTTCGGCAGTTTAGGTATAGCCATCGCCCAACCACCATTAATACAAATTCTCTCGAATACCAAAGCACCTTACAATATATCCACACCCACCGCCCACCTTGCATTATCTGCCCTTTCTCCCTCAGCAGTGGATACGATGCAATCCAAGATAAATACCCTCATCGCTTCCCGGACTAAACTTCTCCAATCATTGTCCACCCGCGCCGGGCTAGGACCTTCCATTGGTGGTAACGACGCCAACTTTATCGTGGTTCCGGTCTTATCCAAAGATGGTACCAAACCTGACAATTTCAGGTCGCAGAAGGTTTACAAGTCGTTAGCAGAGGAGAATGGTGTTGTCGTCCGATTTAGAGGCAATGAGCCAGGATGCGAAGGTTGTCTTAGAATTACGATCGGGAGCGAGGAAGAGAATGGGGTAGTCGTTAGAAAGCTTTCAGAAGTACTTCAACAGTTGTAAGAATACCAGGAACTATAGAAATACAATAGATGATCTGACATAATTCAGTCTCCAGAGTCGAAAAAGATAAGCCATCCTCTTAGACGTCCAACAATTGAACATTTGAGGTTCTATAGATTAGGAGTAAGAATACAAATATGTAGCAATGCAGAGCGATCAACTCCTCCAATACTGAGCCAAGTCATGAATCCGATCCAACACCACCGTAATATACGACGTCTCATTCAACAAAGTCTCGAAATGTTTAATCGCCTCCTCCTCTGTAAGATCTAGCCGAAATTTTTCCTGCAATTGCTCATGTACATCCCGGTGCTTGATATCCGGTATGTTAGCATCCACCATCAATGACACCAAGTTCAGTATGAGGTTCGCATTCTTTCGTAGGATCGAGAACGCCGTAAAGCAAAAGTTCTTGAAGCGGGCATAATGGGGTGACTGTGCGCCTCCCATCCCATCAACCATTTCTTTGCAGACTTTGACGGCAGGTGGGAAGGGTTTGGGATCTCGTCCTAGGATGTATCCAAAGTCGACTGCAATTCGGTAAATAAAAACGTAAAACACCAAATAGGATATGTTGCTTACCATGGAAAAAGTGCCCTAGAAGATCAAGATTAGATGGTAGAAAGTAATGTACCAAACCATACGCACCATCGGAGGCTACCAAAAGGTTATCCAAATGGCGATCGCCCACACCGAGCAAGTAGGTCACCACACAGTAGCCGGCTAAACAATATCTTCAGAACCGGTTTAGCGAACCAACTCAAAAGCGCACCACAACTCCGTACAAAAGTATCAACCACACCTGGCTCCACTCCCGACGTCCCGACACTTCCCTCATCTGGATAATTTGCGCGAAGGTAATTGAGCAGGTTCCCATGCTCGCTAACAATGGCAGCAATCGTCTTGCTAGGGATGTACTGCACCATTCCCTGCAACGGACCCGTCGCTAACACATCATACGGACTCAACTTCAAATCCAGATTCTCCTTCCTCAACAAACGATCCATCAGTGTAAAGAGCTGTATGACAAGCTGATCTTGCCGCATATCATCGCCATCCTTGAAGATCACAGGATATTCTGAGCCGTTGGAGCTCTGGAAATTAAGCAACATTGGATACAAATTGGACTTGAACACCGACGACTTTTCCGCGATGATACCTGTGATTTCGATGCGAGCGTTGACAGGAAGGGGGAGTGGGGGTATAGAGTTCAGACCATTCTTTGAGTCGTTGATGATCGAACGAAGCTTTTCAATCTTCTTCGGTCGAGGATCCTTGGACGTACGAAGCTCCTTGGCACGCTTGGCCAGTGTTTCAACAAGCTGGCCTTGCCGTCGCATTAGTTCGCGACGGTTAGAGCCATCAGGTGACTGGCAATAAAAATCATTTAGAAAAGAATAGGAAGAAAGTCTGGCGACAAGCTCACTTCTAAGATCTTGTTCATGAACTTGAACACAACGCGTCCATACATCTTCGAAATCACCTTGTCTTCAAGGGCTACCTCCACCATGAGATACCAATATAACCTGTTACCAAGGATAGGGTTCTGCACTCCACGGGCTATGAGGAAGTCGGTGAGGCCACTATCATCGTACGAAATTGCGCTGGAGACTGATCTCGATGACCGCGCATCACTAGCTGCACTTTCAAACTTCAGAGCTTGTACCAATTGCAACAAATATAAGAGTAGTTCCTGTACGAGTCCACATTAGGTTGTGATAAAGCCAAGAATTGTACGCTTACATCGTCATCTGCTCTATTCAGTTGCTTAACAGCGAATGCTCTCACACGAGAATCCACTGTACCAGGACCAAGCAGCTCCAGGGCGTCGTCTGTATCAATTTCTGTCCATTGAGGTAAAAGTTCTTCTACTGCTTGTTTCACTTCTGATGGATCGCGCCACGTCACGGAATTGAGGAACTTGGTAAGACCTCTCTTGTCGCGTGCAAGGTAGAAGCGGAATTTCCATATGAGATCCTTCTCTTCGGAATTGAGAGGTTGACTAGGAGCGTAATTGAGGATTTCTCCAATGCTGTCACGGATCTTGGCATTCGGTTTAAGTTCTCTGTCGTACGGGCCACTTCGGTGACTCCGAACGAGTCGACGGTGTTTATCTTCCACAGGATTTTCTCGAGCAATGTCGGGATCGATGATGCTCCATAGATGATGAGAGTCATGGGTGGCTGATGAAGATGCTGCACCGGCAACGGGAGTTGCCGGAGGAGGTGCGGACGACGAAGTGGACGCCGTTGGCTGTGGAGGAAACTCTGGTTCATTGAATATTACGGGGAAGTCGAATCGAGGCAGATCAATGTAGAGGTACAGATTATCGGATTTTTGGGTCTCTGCGGCATGGACTTCCTCCATCTTTCGAAAAGTCATCTTGTCAAGCCAATCTGATTTTGGAAGGTCACCACGCTCGTATTTCTTCACGAGCTGTAAGGTGGATGAGAACCCTACCACAGGGAGAGGCTAGCATACGCACCTTTTCCAGCCTTCCCATCTCGTCCCTCGATCCGTACTTGCTTGGAGTACTTGTTTCTGCAGAGCCATCGGCTTCCACGCCTTGCCAGAGCAGTAAACGGTGCTTCCCCCGTCGCAAAGTCCTAGTTGATGTCAGGCGCGCTCTAATAACAGAAACACCAATCACACCATTTCTTCCCAAAGAGACGAAAGGTGGATCCTCCAACAGGTGCCGCTGTTCTTGGCCCAGAGATATCCCATGCAGTAAAAGTTATCTGAGAATTGAGTGGCAGGTCACAGTATCGAATAGGGAGGGTTATCCACTCGTTCCACCTGCGGCGTCATCAATAAGCGGGCATCACCTGTGTAGAGATACAACGGACGTGTATGAGTTTTTGAATGCCTTGAATGCCGTTCGAAAGGGAATGGTGAGGGGTTTGTTGTCCGCGATGAGCTGACAGGTTACATAGAGATCTGACAATGTGCTTGAGCCTAGGATGTAGTGAAATTGGGGCAACAGTATCCGGCACCACTTACGCAGACTGAACACCGTGAAAACGCAGCTCTGGCTTCTCCAGCAGGTCGGTGAAGGACCTAAGATGTCGAATGCCCTCAAGTTGGTTTCTATTACCGGGCTGAGTCGATTGCACACAGGACAGGGCGGCACTTACATTCGAAACGTGACGGGCATCTTGAGATTAGAAAGGGTAGCAAAGGTAAAATCGTCACGGTTGTCCTTGTCCATGGTGGCGGAAAGAGAAAGGGCAAGGCCCAATTAGGGATGCTGCTGCACGCATCTGCCCCTAATTATGGGCATACATATTGATAATCATTGCATCGACACACAACAGCAACAGCTGTACCCTACCAACAAGAAGTAAAAAGTACACTTGATGAATACATATTTGGCTTCCGGCTTCCAAACTTCCCCTACTCTACGTCTGCGAAGTGCTGAAAATGTCATTTGTTCCCTGAATCTTTTCATGGTCGGCCAGGTTAGCTTGTGCTTCATATACTGTTATTACAGGATTGTATTTGCGCTACGGATTCAAAAAATGAATATAGAAGCCGGGGGCAACAAAAAAAGCAGCATACCTCAGTCCAATGGCCGAGAAATCCAACATAGTAAATTCTAGTGGTGTCTGCACCCTGAGACGCCGGAAAGAAGAGAGTGATAGAGGAAACATTGGAAAATTTAGCCGCTCTGTAAAACGTTGGACTCGTGACATCTACCAAGAGATTCACCTACTTGACAGCGTATTCTCCGACCTCTCTGCTTTGAACAACGTTGAATTCCTGTATCGGCATCTTATCATTGACATCTTCAAAGTCCAGAGCATCCTCGTTCGCAAACTGGGGCAAGAATCAAGGTGAAGTATACAGGACGCAAGGAAGACGAGGCCTTACGATAGCCACTTTCGCTGGCGTCTGATCGGCCGGTCCAGTTTTCAGCAGCAGAGAGCGAAGCTTGACAGAGCCAGTAAATGGGATCCGCAGAATGCTACACGCTACGTGAGATGAGGCACCACGAGCGGTTGTTGGGAAACATACAGCTGGTCATCGGAATCGGATTCCAAAGACTGATTTGGCCTCTGTTACAAAAAGACGGATAACTTGAGGGGCTCGGTATCACCTTTTCCTCGCTGGTTCGTTCATGCCAAGGTTTGATAACCTCTGGACCGTTACCATTAGCATTCAGCGCAAAGACATTGGCGCGATCGATATGCATGAAGAGGTTGTCATTGGGACCAGCGTCGGACGTATCGTGGATGTGTTCATCGTGGTCATGGTCGTTGCTTTCATGGCCGCAGCTGGCGTTGTGGTGGTGAGCCATGGTCGACGTCGGTCCAAGCCCATTGTTTGTCTACGCCCATATGTACAATCAGTGACGTCATACGTAGCCGGAGACTGGGCCCATCCAGCTCCTGCTTGGGGATGTCAGCAACGCGGTCCTGTTCCTCTTCAGACACATACGATTTGAAGTTGCTGTAGAGCGCAAAAACAAAGGCCACCTCTGTGGATTCAACCCTGCGATAGCGCAGCTTCTTTCCAGTCCCAGTGAGCTCTTGGAGGTATCCAGAAATATGCTGTTGCTACCTTCTGGGAGTAGATTCTTTCGCGTGGCATATTTTGCAAGGTCGGAAAGGGTTAATCTGATTCGGTACTAGAAAAGAGGCGGCTTGGGTCTCGGGGGGCAACGCAAGTACACGAAAGGGATGTCATCCCACCGCTCGTTGCCATAATGTAATGTATTTGAACCAATACAGCTCTTTGAATCGAATGTAGGTCTGTCTGAAAATATAAGCATGACATCTCTTCAGCAATGGCCGACTCACCTTGTTTTTTTTTTTTTTTTTTCCTCCTCCCCGCCCCAATGGAGGTTATGACTGGGATAGGAAGGTGGATTCGATGACATATCTCTTGTTCCCCCACCACCATGTCTGGCATTTACAATCAGGCATTTGCCATTGGCGGACTCGAGGTCAAGGTATTATCAAGGCATGAAGAGGCAGACTCGAGACCCGCCTTTGTGCTTTTTGTTCTTCACGGTCGACATGGACATTGCCAAGATCAAAATGTCACTTCGATCGTCCGTGGCTTACTGCAGGAGAAAGATAGTAATGCTCAGCGTAAATTATACGTAGTGACATTTGTAGGCTGCAGCCTGCTCGAGATTCCGCTATCGTCTTCTCAAACTCCTATTCACAGGACCAGAGAAATCATGGTCATCGAATGGTAGACCCCAAGGCTAATGAGGGCTGGAGCAAGGTAGCAACCCAAAACAATGACCGGCATGCGTAAGCGCCTCTCTTCATACCTCTTTATCTATATCTTATTCCTCAATCATTGTTACAGAATAGACATGTACAGTTTACAAAGTACGACACTCTCTTAGTATATTGAGTCCAAGCTTAGCCTTGAAAGCTGGAACGGCCAGGGACGTCTCGTTCCTCATCGATTTTCTACCAGCCTATGTCTTTCCTGAACAGGAACGCATAGTCACCGGGTGGGGGGTTGCTGGTGTCAGCCTTGGCGGTCATTCTACCTGGATCTCTTTGAGCCAAGGTCAGCTGGCGACCCTGTACTTGTGAATTGCTTGCAAATTTACCTGCAGATCCCCGACTAACCATTGGAATACCTATCATTGGATGTCCCGACTATCTCACTCTTATCTCAGCGCGAGCTGAGAAATTTGGGATTTCTCTAGAGAAATCATCATATCTGCCTGATAGTCTCCTAGTGCTGATACAGCGCTCGGATCCGGCTTCCACTGCATACAGATCCAGTGATTCATCGAATCCCTTCTTGGGCAAGAAGATCTTGGTCCTGTCCGGAGCTGATGATTCTCTTGTTCCGTGGTCAGCTAGCGAGCCCTTTGTGAATGGATTGGTCGTCGGTGAAAAAGGTGTCAAGCGCGTCTTTGTACAGGAAGGGGTTCGCCACAAATGCTCGCCTGAGATGGTCCAGCAATTGGTCGAGTTCGTTCGCACACACACTCAGTAATTAGATTGTGAAGTAAATAAATAAATAAATACCATGTATGACTAATCGTTGGTCATGTTTGGGTCGATGTAGTGGCGGCTTGGGCAACTGTGCCATCGTTCTGTTCTACGTCGTTGACATCGTTCCATCCAGCGACCACGACCTTTTATCTATTTATCGCACGGATTACAGACCGACGAGGTGACATACTCGTGCCTCAGCGCGTGCCCGACGATTTTCCGGGTTCAATTTGGGTCTAGTGACGAAGCCGGCCAGGCCTGATTCGCTATTCATATAAAAGGACACCATCGCTCCGCCAAGATGCCCCGCCGCGCTTCCACCCGCACCACCACTACCTACGTCGAGCAGCCAACATATCAGCCTTCTGCTGCCCCCTACCCTGCCCCGACGTTACCCTCTGAGCTCGTCGTGCTCCGGACGAACTGGAAATGGGCCGCGTTAAGTCAGTTTTTCTTCACCTTTTCCCAGTTGATGTCTATGGACGACCTATCGTTGAATGTAGGCTTCATATTCCAGGTATCTTTATATCATCTTGACTAACGTCCTTTTTTCCAGGACATCGAAGAAGATCTAGTACAGGGAAGCAACATATATCTGCCCCGCGTCATGCAGAGATTGTTGTATACGCTTTCGTACGATCGCAAAATAACGTGAGCATCGTTACTACCTTTTTTACTGTCAAAGTCGCGTATTGATCGCGTTTTAGGTCGAACAACTGGCAGACAGCTCTGCGAAAACAATATTACAAACGCGACCCGGCCGCGAACCCGATAGGACCTGAACCGTTCCCTAGCGCGTCAATGTCTCACACTCGGACAACTTCACTCGCCACACCGGATTCCCAATCTCGTGCAAAGACTGAGGACTCTGAGGTGGCCGACAAAGTCAAGAATGAGACGCCAGCTATGTCTGTTCCGCCTGAAGAAATCAAATCTGATGTTGGACAAAACGAGGAGACTATAAAATCTGAGACTCCTGCTGCAGAAGAGCCTCCACAGGAGGAGGGAGAGGAGCCAGAAGAGTCCAAGGACTGGCTCGAGTTGTCCATGCTTGAGAAACTCGATTCCATGCATCTCTTGATGGAATGGCAATTCCAAAACGCGACCCGACTACGAACCCTTATGAAATCGGATGACGACTTGGCAACCTGGGTGAATAACCTATGTTTCCTCATACCTGAGTTTCATTAATGAAGTTCACACAGCGGATCGAACCCATTGGGTACGACTCCAAGAGGAATGCCTATTGGCTGGTGGGTGCCGACCGATTATGGATACAACGAGAGCCTCCGAGACCCCCGCGGTCTTCGAAGAGCCTTAAACGCAAGAGACCGGAACCCAAGGTCAAGAACAGGAAGGGGAAAGCCAGCCTTGCGAAACGTGCACGCATAGAGCCGCCTCCTAAAAGAGGCAAGGCAAAAGCCAAAGCCAAAGAAGACTCTTCCCCCGTTGGTCGTCGCAGTCGCGCTGCCAAAGCCCAGGCGAACATCAAGCTTGACGCGCAGGCCAGGGAGTTGGCAGAACTCAACCGACAGGCCGCCGCTTTTAGTCGGAGCGATAGTGGTTTGAGAACGTCAAGTCGACGACAACTTGCATCTACACCCAAATACACTCCAAGGGGGACACGAAACAGTGCACGGCTAAGGGGGACTCAGAATGACGATGAGTGGCAGGCAGTTCCAGAGGAGTGGTTGAATGAAAGCGTTAATGGTAACAGGAACACAAGAAGCAAAAATTCGAAGTCCAAGACGGGTTTAGAGAGCGAAGGGAGCTCTATAAGTGATTTGACAGATTTGAGCGACGAAGAAAGTGAGGAGAAGGCGAAAGGCGATGACGATGACGATGACGACGATGACGAGGAAAAGGAGGAGGAGGAGGAGGAGGAGGAGGAGGAGGAGGAACAAGATCAAGGTGAGGCAGATGAGGAGGGAGATGAGGAAGGGGACCCTCCGGAACCTGTAATTGAGCAACTGGAGGAACAATACCAGGTACCTACAGACTTTATTGAATGGGAGACCGTAAGTCAGCTTACTTCTCGTCGAGTCTGTCTCACTGCTCGTCAGATATGCGTTACATTGTACGAATGGGAGCACACAGCGGAGCGCTGGCAGAATGCTACTCATTACGCGGAGAAAGCACTGTACAAGGTCTTGACAACCTCCATTGTTCCAGTTATCACTGAGGAGCTTCGAGTACGTGTTCCTGCTAAACTGACCGTGATCTGTGTTTGACGTGAATTATAGGAAGTCGCTCGTAAGAAAAAGATCGAGGAAGCTGTTGTACATCGCAAACGCTCATCTCGCATAGCTATCAAGGAATCTGTGCGAGAGGAAGCTCGTCAGGCAATTGCAAGGAAAGCCGAGGAGGAAGAAAAGATGAGTCGTGCCAGGCGTGCAGAGGCCAGGCAGCAGAAGGAAGAAGAAGCCCGTCAGAAACGGGAGAATGCTCGCGAGCAACGAAGAAACGAACGAGAAGCCCGGGAAGCGCAAGAAGCCAAAGATGAAGGCGAGAGGTAATTGTTCTGCGTCTTCTGTATGAATGCATGTTGACCGTCTGCTTCAGCGCCGGTATGCCGGTCGACGTCGTTGGTAATGGGGCTGCCGTCGACCGACAAGCGAATGGCACATCCGGGCACCGTACTTCGAACGGTGTCGCCAGTGGATCTCGCACTCCGGCTGGCGAGGACTGGGAGTTGGATTGCGAGATATGCCTTCGCCGGGGCGTAAATCTCGTAGGCATCCTTCATGATTGCTCTGTAGTCGTTCTAACTTGAATCTTCTATTCTGTTTTCAGGATGATGGAGTTCCTATGATGTGCTGTGGATCATGTTCCAAATGGCAGCATATATCTTGTCATGATCAAGCTGACTTTCGATCTGGTCGTCCAAGAAGGAACTGGGAGCAAGTGGAATTTATCTGCCGAAACTGTTCACAGACAAAACGACAGTCGCACTATTCCAATGCGCATCCACCTCCTGCAGCAGGGCGCGATCAGTACCTTGCGCTGCGTGCTCCTGGATCCGTCGCGTCGACGAGCAACTCTTATGGGAATTACAATGCTCCAGCGTATCCTGGATACAATCCCTACTCTCAACCTACGAAAAACTACAACCACCAGCAGATGTCTGATGTACGTTCACATGCCGCACAAACTCAATCATCGTATCCGCTTCAAACGAAGGCCATATCCTTCACCCATTACCAACCCCAACAACGCGGCTTCTCTCAAACACATTCTTCTTATAACGCGGCACCCTATGTACAGCCGTATGGACAAGCAGCTTCTGTCGGACAATACGGACAATACACGGAGTCAATAACTAATGGATCAAATGGCTACGCGTATCCAGTAAGCTGAGGGTCGATTTTATTTTTATTTTTTTCTGACTCCGAGTTTAGCGTTCTGCACCAAGTGCTAGATGGAGCGTTACGACTCCAGCACAACAATCTCCGGGATATGGCACAGCTTCCTATCCCACTACAGAAAGGACCTCAGCCAGTGGGCGTCAGTATCCGGACACTCAAAAATGGCAGCATCAGCCTACACAAAAGATGACGGACGCATACAGCACTGGCTACCACCCGAACACTTAAATTGACTTATTGGTTTCGAGATAATTAGACGGCACCTTGCATGTTTATTGGATCTTTTATACTGTGTGTCCGGATAGAAAGGTGTTTTTTTTTGTTTATTCTGTATGTGTGTACATGTCCGAGATGTAATAGTGATACAACTAGTAATACACAGTGCCATGATAATGGCTTATCGAATTGATTCGTACATTTTGTATGCTGGAGTTTTGAACGTAAATACGTCTGTGTCAAGAGGATCCTGGTCCCTGTGGATATGTTAGTTAGAAAATTTCGGGGATGAATACAACATACTCGATAGGTCCCAAGACACGTAGACCCCGAACATGGGTATCCTTACCGCTCTGGTGGTTGGTCATGACGATGATCTGGAGCACGTAGGCGTAAATGGGTTTCCTAGAAACAAAGGGCATCAAGGACCATCATTAGTTGAATTTGGGCTGGACATACAGCCCGTCACCGTCCTCGTTGGGTTCCGATGAGATATCGAAAGTTAGCCAGCCATCCGGTTTATCCAATGTTATTATTCGAACATCCTGCAGATCCGTTGAGCCTGTTCCGGCACGAATGGCAAGCGTCGCGGGGGTATACGAGTCGTCCAGAGGATGACTGAGGTATATGCTCAGTTTCTACGGTGATGTCGTCAGCAACAGCAGCGTAACTTAAACAGTAAGACGGACCTGGACGGGCATTTTTCGAGGAAACTCGATGGTGATGAAATGAGGCTGGGGACCATCCGAACTGGGAGATTTAACGACGACGGTGGCATTTCAACGCGTCAGGACTCACTGCCAAAACGTCTCAGAATCACCGTCTCGCAAGCACTCGACCCCGAAACCGAATTTTGCAGAGGACACGGACCATTTGGCGCGTGAAGAGATATCTGGCCAAGGAAGGATTGGTGGTCGTTTCATGGCTGAGTTACTGTTGAATAGCGATGATTTTAAGCAATGGTACTATATATCGTTTACCTGAGAGGAGAAAGGGAGCGTTGAGGTTGGCGTCGTCGATGAGAGGCAGAGGCTGTCCAGGAGGAGGAAGAGACATCGTGGTAAGAGGCAAGCCGTGACCGTGTTGCAGCAGTGTTCCTTGCCTCTTGCCTTCCATGGAGCTCCCCATCGAAGACTACCGCCGGTACGGGCGGCAGATGATCCTCGATGGATTCGGTCTCCCAGGTATTTTTCATTCTTACCTTTCGACCACCATCATCGTTTCTTATCCATCGCCAAGGTCAGCTCAAGCTCCGGAATTCGTCCGTCGTCGTCGTAGGCGCCGGTGGACTCGGATGTCCAGCCCTTCAGTATCTGGGTGCAGCAGGATTTGGTGAACCCAGATCATCCTTTTCGTCGAGATACTAGCTGACATTGCGCCAGGAAGAATAGGCATCATCGACCACGATGTCGTAGAAGTATCCAATCTACAACGACAGATTCTGCACAATGAAAGTACCATTGGACTTCCCAAGGCTGAATCTGCAGCAGAGTCACTTCGACGGTGAGGGTACCTAGCAAACGTCCCGCCATTTAAGCTCATTTGGTACAGACTGAATTCTCGCCTGAACCTGGACGTGATAATCGAAGCCTTGACGCCACAAAATGCACTTCATCTTCTGCAGCCATACGACATCATCCTCGACTGCACAGACAATGCACCGACACGGTATCTACTCTCAGACACTGCGGTCGCACTCGGTAAACCACTCGTGAGTGGGGCTGCTCAGAAATTTGAGGGACAGCTCTGTTGCTACAATCTTGGCCCCGACGGTCCTTGCTACCGGTGTCTGTTCCCAACGCCTCCAGCCTCAGAAACAGTGGGGACATGCGCAGAGACAGGAATCCTCGGTGCAGTAACTGGCGTCATTGGCAACATGCAAGCATTGGAGGCCATCAAAATCGCTACTGGTTTACACGGTCCGTAATTTCTTGGACGCAGTATTTTCCTGATCACTGATATCCCATCGTTAGACCAGAAACCATCTCTCCTCGTTTTCTCCGCCCTGGGTTCACCCCCGTTCCGTAGCATCAAACTTCGGTCGCGCAGGGCTAGCTGTCCTGTATGTGGGACAGAAGGAGAGGAGGTTGGTGAAATCAAAGATATCGACTACGTTCAGTTCTGTGGAGGTGCTGCTCCGGACTGGGAGAGCCGCGGGATGATTGAAGGACGATCCGACCGGCGGATACGCGTTCAAGTACGTTAACTGAAGTTTCCGTGTAAGACTACTGCTAAATACTGCTCTTTAGGACTTTAATGATGTATTAGCAAAGAAAAAGGTCAAGATCATCGATGTTCGACCTCCAACAGAATTTGGGATTTGTCGGTTACCTTATTCAATAAGTAAGTCTTCGTCCCCAAAGAACGAGCGAATAAAATAAAGAAATTTATGTAGATGTTCCTCTCAGCGTCCTTGTTGCCAACCCTGCCGAGCAGCTTCCAAGCGACAATGAAACAGAGACATATATCGTATGTCGTCTCGGCAATGATTCACAGATAGGTGCGGACGCCCTACGAAGCGTCCGAACTGGCAGCTCCATGTCCATCAAAGATGTTATTGGAGGTCTTCGCGCTTGGTCAAGAGACATTGATAGAACATTTCCAGTGTACTGATCTATTCCATTCCTACATACATTTACAATACATTTATAATAAGCGTTATGTACTTGATCTAATTAAGCTATTTCTCTAAGAAACCGTATCAGCGTCAGATGATCAGTTATCAGCAAATGGACGTACTTGCAAGCTTCAACCACTTGGGCACTTTCTTTGTTTCAGAGGATGAGCCTGAAGAACCTGGTATCCTAGACATGGGAACGTTGGGTGGGGGTGTATCCAGTACTTCTGGAGGCCTAGGTAAGTCAACGGCCTGTGAAAGAACATTTGTGATCAAAGGCGCGGGGACGTGCGACCCTTACAACCCAATTAGCGACGTAAAAGACCATTGTTCAAGTTGCATTTACCATTCAAAGAGTCATCTTCAAACCGAATGAGAAGTACAGATGATGGTGCCAGTTGTAGCTGTGCTAGCGTCAAGTCGCGAACCTTGAGATCAGAGACTTTGAGGTCTCGCTTTGGGGGCTGATCTATGTGACGATGAGTATGCAGTGCCAAAATTAATGTTCCCATACGCACAAAGAATAAACTTGATGGGCTTCACATCTTCTCGAAGCAATCCCCTCACAAAGGCGTATACAGAACGGATCTTATCTGTTGAAGGGAAGGCCTTCTCCAGCTGCGTCCTGTCGGTGAAGCGGATACGTATCGTTGTCTGCACCGTGATAAGTAACTAAAGTAACAATGTTTAACGAGATATCAGATGAGAACGCACAATTGGCCATCGATCCCGCTTTGCCTGATCCTCGGCCTCTTTCACGGACTTTAACTGCAACGGTGCATTCGTAAGCGCCTGGGTACGCGCGGCCAGCTGTGACTGAGCGGCTTTCAAGTCTGACGAGGTGGGGATAAAGTATTCATCTGGTAATGCGGCTACGTAGAATTCGTCGTCAACGTCTGATTGTAGCGAATTCAATTTAGTGCTTACAGGGAACGGTGGCGATCACGTCAGAAGGTTTATAGACTTTGAAATCGGACTTTGGCTGCGACGTATTCACCACGGTGTCTGTATTCGTCATTGAGGAAGGGCCAGCAGCCGCCTGTTGTTGTTCGGACATGGTGGTATGTGTTCACGAGAAAGGGTATTACAAACTGGGATGTATTATTCAACAACCACACAATTGAAACGCGATCACGAACGCTCTCACGTCGTAAAAAAAAAAAGGAAGATAATTCAGATTACCTGTAAGAATACGTGAGCTATGGGCAAAAAATCAAGACACAAGAAAATGAAAAATCAGGTAGAAAAAAGTTGTCTCATACCGTCAGCCCCAGGATGCACTGGCAAGTGATCCCTTTGGTGTGAGACCGACAGCAATCGAACGCAAATTACATGAGTAGCATCATAGAGAAAAAGAGGAGAAAATAGGCAGAAACGCGACTCACTAGCTGTAGATGGTGGGAAAAGAAAGAGAAACAATGCGTTATATATAGTTTTGTAATATTTGGCCATACTTGGTGCGATGGCCGGATTGTGCCGAGAATCTTCGATGCAAGGGAATCTCCGTCGTCGAGGAATGAATTAGTCAGGGCCTGTGTACGTTTTTTGTGCAGAGTGTCTGTACGGACTCTGATTTAGAGCGTCTGGTGTTCATGTTGGATCAAAGCACCATTCACAGATATGCCACAGTGCTAGTCTGCCAGTGCTAACTCTTTATCACAAGCCCAACTTTTATGATCAATAAAAATGCACCAACGAAGAAGAGACTACTTGTCAGCATCAAAAAAATACTGGCCCATCATATTTTTGTTCTACGAACCCTTTTTGATAATCCATCTGACGTTATATTCCGCCTTGAAGCAAATAACAGGGGAAATATACGTTGCAGCGGGAGACACAAGGCTAGTGAGCCAAGGATGGACGTTCAGACGTTCAAGTTCAGAAGGGGCGACGTACAAAATCCAAAGAGCCAAAGATATTTCACGGGCGGAGGTCCCAAACACGGCGGTGTGTACGCTGGTGGTGGTTGCCACCTTTCATACGGCGGAGGTGCACTGGTTTCTTCAAGTTCACGTGGTATCGAACAAGCCTGGGCATTAAATCAGAAAAATGCGGAATGGGCTGTCAACGTACGTTTCGCTCCGTATCTACGACATCCACCATTTGAGTGCATGAAGCAGACATTAACTTGGGACGGCAAGCAGAGTCGCAAGTTCGCAAGCGCCTTTATGATGTTGCGGAGGTCCGTTCAGCGGCATAGAATGACGGTAATCCAGCCATCATGTCGCTCTGAAAACTCCGCGTAACAAAGTTCAATGCATCTGATGAATACTTCAGTTATAGGCTGACCAAACGCTTAACGTCGCATGTCGGCACAAGGTTCTACAAACACCGATAGATTCAAGGGTGTTTAACATCGTTAGATATACGGCGCGGGTACGACGGACGCTCTGGAAGTAGATTCTTTCTCGTGGGCATATTCGGCAAGACTTGAGAACGTGAATCCGTACTGGAAAAGAGGCGGCCTTGGTCTCGTGCGGCGGCGCAGATAGATGAGAGGGATGTCATTCCATGGGCTCTTTCAAGATGATGTACGTGAACGAGTACAACTCTTCGGTTTCAACCCAAGCTTAAATGTAGATCTGAAAAATGTTCGTAACATTTCTTCAAGGAATCATATAAATGCCCAGAAATGCACTCGAATTTATTGACATCTTCATTGTCATCATACGCTATCATTGGAACCGTTTGCTGCCCAACAAAAATGTCCACAACCAGCCGCGCACGGATGACCTATGAAATCACTCATCTTGTCCATCACGGTATTCGTAGTTTCGGATGTTTGCACATCAACCGTGCTCACGGCACTAGTGGTCGAACTGCTATCATCATCTACAACGGTCTCTGTAGAGCTACGAGCAACTGATCGCCCCCGATGATCTTCAGTGGCGGCTGTAGCCGGCAGAAACGACTTTGGAAGGTGCACCATTGGTCGTTGCATGTAATATCGCTGATAGCAGACATGATGGCCACCGTGAGAGCATATTGAACACTGGAAAAGAAGGCCGCGGACAGGAAGTCGACTACCAGATCTTCATCAATCGCAGTAATGGTGAAACAGAAAATATGCTGTACCATATGTTACACATTGCCGGCGGCGCTTTGCACGCCGAACAGAGCCAGTAACCTGCGTTGCGGTCAGTCGTACCAAGAGGCAGTGCCAGTGCTTTGCGGCATCGACCGCATGAAGTATAGATGGTAGTTTCAAGCTTTACATCATTTATGAGCACTACATGCCAACAGAGCAAAATCGTGCCCACCTGACTGGCCTGTCGAATCTCCTCAGCCTCACAGACCTTCCGCAAATACGCAGCACAAGTGTGTAGTCGCAGCCTGGCAAGTTTATCTGGATATGAACAAACGCATCTTCATTAATATCCAACCGCGGAATCTTAAATGACAAGAGTTACCAATGTAGGAGTCAAGGAAGCCAACGACTCTTCGTTTATCTATGCGGAGTTCTTTGGCCACTAGAACAGACAACATCGCACACATTTGCATGTCACCCTTTATGGTATTAAGTTTGGCATATTTCATTCAATATGTTTGTTTCACACACCTCATCAGCAAAGTCATCGAGAGCGTTGCGCAAGGCCTCCCATGCCAAATCTCGACACCTTTTCTCCTCCAACCGAACGAGATCTTGGCGTCTATCTGTCACATCGACAACAACAGCGGGGAAACTACCATCTCCTTCGCCCACATCTAACATGGCTTCGGAAATAGTCGTGCTCTTCTCTTTCTGATGAGTTACGTCACGAGCGGTCTCCTCGGTCTTGATGCCATTCGCACTTTCAGACTGGAGGCCTTCTCCCACAGTAACAGTTTTAATGCTGCTCTGTGAAGTCCTGAGCTTCAGCGGTTTTGTGGAACCGGGACCCGGCAGAGAAGCGATAGTTGAACTACGGCTACGAGATTTCTTTAGAAGAGAACTCGGTCTTGTTGATCTCTTTGACGAGCTGGACCTTGAAGGCAAACGTGGTGAAGGTCGGGGCGACTCATGATTGTCATCATATTCTGAATCAGTGGAGCGAGGTGATGGCGACGCGTCGTCATCGTCATCGTCATCCTCTTCATTGTCCTCTTCATGATCCGACCAGCGTGAATGGCCAATGACATGGGAGAGCGGACTGGGGAGTACTGATGATGACCTCCTTGCAGGATGATTAGGCGAGAAAGGTATCTGGACGCCTTCATCGCCGCTAGTAGGACCATCGCCTGCCATTTCCACATCGTCTTCATTCCCGCTTGGAGATGAGTCGGAATCATCTAAAGCACCCTCCCCGACGTGTCGGAGACTGCTGGTACTTCTGTCTCCAGGGCTTGAACTGTGAATCGACACGGACGGCCGACGATATACAGAAGGACGTCGCATCATTGGGGACTCTCCTGAATCTCTTCTTCCCAACGGTGATGGTGTACCTGGAGGAAGAGGGGAAACGCCTTGTCTTGGTGAAGAATTCTTAGACGATGATGGTGTCATTCGACGTGAACCGGAAACACTGCGCTGTGCAGATCCAGGGTCAACATTATACCCGGAACCCCGACCAGGGCTGACTTTCTTCGTCAGAGTGGCCGACGAGTCTGTTCTCTCAAGAGGAAGACTATGCCTCCCAGGAGATGGAGACGACGGAACATTACCAGGCGCCGAAAATAGTTTCACTGGATTCGAATGGACACCAGCACTTCCATTTTCATCTTCAGGTTCTGGCACTAAGTCAGCCAGTGAGGCCTCAACAAGCAACCACACTTGTCCCGCGCGATTTCTCCCTGTCTGAAAGGCCAGCTGGATTGACATCAGCATATGCCCATGGGCAATGATCAATCGAATCTCACCTGTGCATTGAGAGCACATATTTGTTTCCGATCTTCACCTTTGAATCTGTAACCTTTCGCTAATCTGGTGAAAGCCGCTACTTCATGTTCAGCTCCTGGTAGATTGTAGGTGCCCGTTGCCTGGCATTCTGGAACGTATGGACTGTCTCCCAGAGCTTTAAGTTTTGACTTCCCATATTGGGGCATCCGTTCGCGTTGCTCCGGGGATCTTTTACCATTTCTTCAGCGTCCAGAAAACGGTACGAATTCCGAAAGGACGTACACATCGTCATAAGGTGGTTCCCAAAGCTTCTTGTCATTGGATACGAACGCTAGGGTGCCAGAAGCCTCCCAACTTGCGGATACCTTCGTGATCGCATCAAGAGGCTTGGTAGCATCTCTGAGATCAATCTGAGAAAACATTCCAGACGAATGCTGCGCCCAAATGGCATGTGAGTCTCCGAATGTCATATCTGCGTAAATGTGTGCATTGAAGGCAAGTATTTGGGAGAAAAATGAACAACTGACCCGTGACACCACCCTCTATCGCAGAACCTGTTACAGACCACTTTGCTATCCAACCTCTTCGCACATCCCAGATTTCGATTGCATCGCCCATTCCAACTACGACATTGGGTGCCTTCATTCCTGGTGCCAAACCCGAGTTGCTGTCCTTGTTTACTCCGTTCTGAGACGCATCTCGACCACCAAATCCAGCAACATCAAGTCCAAAGGTACGGTTTCCTCTTTCGGCGGTTCCTGCAAGAGCCGACGGTTGAGACATGTCTGGATTAGAGCCCGTTCCGAGCTCAGCATTCGACACTATGGCGATCTCGCATTCGTATGACGGGCGCCACTGAACCTGACGAACTGGAAACGAAGGATGTAGAGTGTATGTTGCTTTGTGAGGGATATGGACCCAAGTCGATGGCCATGTCAGGTCCCAAACCTGTATTAGAATTCAAAAAGATAAAAAGCATATTCGTAAGTATATCGACCTTTACACAACGATCCAGTCCACCAGAAACTATCCATCCTAGACCACCATTCGGGATATCCCCACCTGGAACCATAGTCGGCGCACCTGGCATCGTATTGGAAGCTGTATAACACCAATCGAGGGCCGTTACAGGCGCTGTGTGCGCGACAGGTATACGATCCAACTGCCCACGTTGACCCATCTGTAAATCCCATCTGCATAACGGAATCAGTACAAGTGTGGTCGAATAGCTTTCCTTATTGACAGACCGATACAGGCTACCGTTATCTAAACCGACCACAACTTGCAGTGGGTGGGAGTTTACAGGAGAGAAGACTGCACTCCGCACTGTGGTAGGATAACGTATGCGGTTGATAGACTTGCTGAGATCCCTAATATCCTTCCAGATATTCGCGTCAACGCAAAGGTAAGGGGTGTCAACAGACTGACCCATATGCGCAAATCGCCATCAGACGATCCAGTAACACAGTAATGGTGAACAATGGAAGACACTGAAAGCTTGTGTATCGAACGCGTATGGTCCTTCGTCCGTCGTTCTGTATAAACAACATGTCAAAAGGAATGAAAGGTCGTCGATGTTGCACTACGGACCATACTTAGATTTCACCAAGTCCCACATGATAATTTCTCCGTTACGAGCGCTCGTCAATATCTTGTTGTTGAACTCTGTCGTCCATGAGTGTCAGAGAAAACTGAAAATGGACGCGAGACTTACGACCAAAACCCCAGGCGACATCAGTACTGGCACTGTCTATCTTCAGACCGCTTCCTTCCCAGAGATTGCGAGAGGCTTCTACTCGATGGCCGCCGCGTCCAACAGCAGCTTTATGCTCGGAAGTTCTGGCCTGAGTGGGGTCCAAGATGGTCAGTACGCGAAGAGCTATGAAACGTCCATCAGCTCAGACTGTCGATAACGACGCGAATACCAACATTCTTTGCCTGCCACTGCACAGCGGGAACCATCTTCGCTCTTGCATATAGCACTTCTGCCGTTGGCGCAGGCTCTTTGTAGGCGTACGTTGCGACTAGGCCCAGAGTATCCATGAGTGCGGGAGTCGGAGAAGAGGTCGTTGAGGGTCAGCGATGTCTGAATGCTCAGCTGGGGAGCAGACATAAGGTCGACGCGTCTCGCCGAGGAAAGATGATGATGGCAACAAGAAGGACAAGTTGCACCTCGTGACGATTACATAGCTCATCGATTCAAAGGTCGCTGCTACAGCATGGGTAATTACAGGGATATAATAGATATATAGTCCTTCAAGTGCATAATGAAGAGAAGAAAGCAGGATATTATGCAGATGCAGCGTCGACCATGTCTTTGTCCAAGTACTACTCTCATGCAAGTATTGTCCAAACCCCACCCAGCAAACAGACCACCGTCGTCACGACCATTCCCATCAATGCCTTTTGCGATACGAGGACCACCGGCGAAGCCTTGGAACTCGCAGCACTTGGTGTTCCGTATATGGACTCGTACTCGCTAAAGGCCATTATCGACCCAGTAGCAGGGGCTGTTGTAGGCGTGGTGGCAGGGAATGTTGGCGTGAAAGTGTCCACTATCAATGTTGTGATACCATCGATAGTGGTGGTGTATGTATAGGGCGTCGGCCCATGAGGGGTTCCGGACGTCGAAGCTGGAGCGCCAACGACTTGAGCGACTGTGGTAGTGGTATCCGTGTTTGTGGTCGCCGTCGTAGCTGTGGCAGCCGTCGTCAGAGCCGTCGTTGTTGCTGTGGTAAGAGCCGTCGTTGCTGTGGTACGAGACGTCCCAGTCAGCGTTTCCCTAAAAACATTGAATATTGTTAAAACGCAAATAATTCGCTGAAAATTCTCACAGCGTCTGAGTGGTAACAACTCCCAACAGTGTGTTTGTAGAAACTACGATGACCACCGACTCGGCGTTCCTGAACGCATCCTCTATATCAGCAGTGCGAGCTCGCTCATGCGCAGCAGACTTACGCATCAACAATTGTTTCCGTCAGCTGCGCCTCTGCAATGGCAACGAAAAGAGCAGTGACAGCGAGAAAGAAGAAACGCATTTTGGGCGTGAAGGTCGTAAGATGGTACACCAGGAGCTACCAGGAGGCGATGGGTGGAGCAACGAGCTGCCCTGCAAAAGCAAGGGCGCTTCCTTCCTTGTTTGGTTATGTTACTTTCCAAGGCTCTTCTCCTACCATGTTCGAACCAATTCGAGGCGGCACTCGCGGTGGACAGGCTGAATTCAAATGGTCGGATGTCTCTGCGGACAAGGACAGAGAGGTAATCGCTTTCTATTTCAATGGTTTCCATGTCTAATAATGTGTTACAGAACTATCTAGGTCACAGTATCAATGCCCCAACAGGACGTTGGCAGAAAAACAAGGATGTCCACTGGTACAACAGAGACATTGTAGACTCAGAGACAGAGAGACTAGAAGAAATCAGAAAGATAAAGGAGGCTGAGGCTGAGGCGCTCTCTGTCGCACTGTGCGTCACACTTTATTTGACTGGCATTGGCCTCACACTGACCCTGATTTCTAGTGGATTTGCTCCAAACGCCAAAGGTGCCGTCGCGAAGGAGGAAACTACTTCTACTTTAAAGTCCATCGAGGATGCAACTTCTCCCGATCAACACGCGTTGGAAAAGGAAGAAAGACGGCGCAGAAAGGCTGAACGGAAGGAAGAAAAGAGAGCAAAGAAGGAACAGCGTCGTCTAGAGCGACGGGAGAGACATGTCAGCATCGAAACCCGAAGACGAAGGGAATACTCCAGCTCTCGCTCAAGATCGCCTCGTCCCCGTTCTCGGGAACGAAGAGATTATGATGATGATCACCCTCGACGTCGAAGCAGATCACCTGCAACACCACCTTATCGTGATCAGCACAGGATACTTCCGGGGAACTATGATGACACATTCCGGGAGAAGGAAAGGGAGCGGGACCGTCAACGATGGGATGCCAACTCGAGACAATACGAACCGGGTGTTAGATGGGGACGAGAGTAATCTTGTATGTCTTTCATTCTATGGTTGACATCGAATATAATGTGTGGTGTAACTCATTAGATGAACTCAAGGTTCCCTTTCCATTAGCCCTTCAGGGTCAAGTATTGCCAGTGAAAGGCACCAATTTCAACGACTAGGCACAGAAGGCAAGTACTAGGAAGGAAACGTACGTGAAGGCGTGTAGATTGGTGGTGTCACGGCATTCGATACCTGAGTGGATGCGATGCGGCACGAAACATCGTTCTTCGTATGCCCCAGACTTTTCAACGAAATTCAACGCAAGGTACACGCAAATCGGCGTTGGGAAACACAAGACGTTGTTCATAAATAATAAGCACGGAGTTACATTGAATCAGAGTTCTTAAGGATCCACATCATTTTACAGATCATTTACATAAATTCGAACATGCATATACACCATCCGTTGGTTCCAGAGAGACCTGGGCCAAAAGTCAGAGGGACCGCAATTTATCTAATAATATTGCCCATTCCATAACGGTTAGCCCTTTCTTCAACGCTCCATCTCTTACCTCTCTATCCCTGACCTCCTCCGTAAGTCGCCCAACGGCGCGCAAATGCTCCACGCTCTTTATTCCCAGACTCACAAGCGCTGGCGCAACGTGCAGTAAGGATGGTTCACAAGATGACAAAACCTCCTGGAAAGTGGTCGTAGCTATTGATCGTATGCTACTTATCGTTGATCCTGAACGAGTCGGTATAAAGGGTGTTGGTGATTGCAGACTTTTGTTCGGGGTGGATGTACGCAGTGGGGTATGTGAACTCGAAGTCCCCTCAACTGTCGTCCGTCGAGCCTGCGACGTTGAACCTCGTGGACTTGGTGATGCCCCGGAACGAAACCCCTTGGGTGAGGCACGGTCACGAGGAGGGGCTCGAGATTTAGATGCCGGTGAAAAAGACCGTTGCCCGTCGGAAGCAACGACATATTGAATGGGTGAGGCGCGACTGTGTATGCCGTTGACATTCTACAGAGAAGAACATATCGGTAAATTTAATTTTTTTAATACACCACGGCATTCCTTGGCTCACCTCGTGTGATAACCAATGGCTCGCAGGTGTCTCCTGGTTTTTCCCCTTCGAGTTTGGACCTCTGGATGGAGGGCTCTCCTTTGTCTCTTGCATTTCGTAGTCGCCCTGCGTCATATAATAGACGCTCATATCTTCATATTTCGCCTCCTTTGCAACTCTCTCGCGCCATGTCGAGATCGTCACAGTTCTCTCCGGCCCGTCTTCAAGAATCTGGTCATGTACGACGTCGAACTCCTGTCCAGCCTTAGGCCCAGTCCTTGGTGCTCTCCTGCCTGTACTTCCATTCATCCTTCTAGCCTTTCCGTGCTCTAGCACAGACTCGCTGACCCTCCTCAGCCTCATCGAGCTTCCATTAAGCCTCTCTAGCGCCAGCCTACCAACGCCAGATTCGAGGGCTTTTTTCGACCCCAGTGACCTAGACATGTCGCGTCTGTGCTGCTTGTACTCATAGTCACGGTCCTCCATCCCAAACTCTTCATATCCCCACGTCGGTCGCTGGCTGATACTCGCGATGCTGCGGTCGCGACGGTGGAGTTTGCACTCGGAGACACTAGGGGCGGTCTCTGTCCGAGGCTTCTCTTCATAGTAGTCCGTCTCCACGTCAGCCTGTGGCGCGCCAGTAACAACCGTATATGTCACTGCATCAAAGTCCTCGTCGAGAGGAGGGGACGTGGGCACCCAGGAATCTCTAACTCTCGTGCCCCACTCGGTCTCTGGACCTCGAGTGGTGCACTCCTGCGTGACAGCATCGAAGTCTTCGTCGAGTGGTGGCGAAGTCGGTGGAGGTCGAGGTCGACGAACCAATCTTTTCCCTCGATGATCGTTGACAAGATAGAGAACCCCAGATTCTGCGCGCAGTCCGAGCGTCAATAATTAGACTCGTTATGGTGCTTGCAGACGGGCACTCACCACTGGCCTCGGCCCAGTTGTGCATTTGTGATGTCGCAATTCGTTATTTCAAGTAGCTGTTGGCCTGAGTCTGGACACAGTGAGGGCGCAATGGAAGGAAGGGGTATGGGTTCCATATGTACGGGTTTGTATGTCGTTCCAGCTTCCACGGGGCTTTGGCATGCAGTTCCGAGATGTCTTGATACACGTGTTGACCACACCTCAATCGATATTATCATCCTGATGATCTTGAACGAATGTCACGCTTCCTCGGACAAGGGATTAGAAGACAATGATTCATGATTTCATTCAGCCTTATTTGCCCACGCAGTGGCCCGTAATGGCCATGCACACTCAAGTTCGGATATCCATGCTCAAATGCACAAAACGACTCTTTCCGAGCCCCGGAGCAGAGAATTCAAAGTTTGCTTTTCAACCGCTTAGCAATCCGTTTCTCATACTTATTAACCAGAATACGGCGCAGAGTCTTTCCGGTGGGTGATTTCGGAATCTATGTCGTATTAATGAATTGGTGACCTGGAGAGAAAAACCATCGACCCACCTCCTTCACAATCTCAATACCGCCTCGAAGCCACTTGTATTTGCTCAAACTCCCTTGATGCCAGGACTCGAGTGCCTTGATAACTTCTGCATTGCCCTTCTTCTTACCAGCTGGGCTCAGCACTACCCAGGCCCGAGGGACCTTTTCATCTGACGTCCGTCCCCCGCTTACCCCGGCTACGGTAGCATCCGATATCAGTCCCTCCGGATGCGCCAAAAGGACATCCTCTATCTCGACAGGTGCAACCTGGGATCCTGAAACTTTGAGAGTGTCCTGACAATGCCAGTGAGGAAATGGCTTCAGTGGAAGAGGAAGAGCTTTACCTTCGCTCTATCTGCGAAGCTGTCGTTGGAAAGTCAACGTCGAGTCGCTGAAGTACAGGGGGGGTACTGACAAGAAATATCCATCTTTGTCGACGGTGAATTTGTCACCAGTCCTTAGCCAACCATCATCAAACGCTTCCCGGGTCGCCTTCTCGTCATTCCAGTAACCTGGAGAAACATTATGGCTCTTAATATATAACTCTCCAACTTCATCGAAGTCTGCTTCTGTGCCATCATCACGCAAAAGCCGGGCTTCGACACCAGGTAGCAGAACGCCTGTGCTTCCTTTGATTCGTTTCAGGCGACCGCCCAAAGAACCCGAGCCTGGCTTTGTGAGTGCGGCAATCGTAGCTTCAGACATTCCATAGCCTGGATGGACGGTAAGCGCGGTCTTACCAATGAAAACCAAACGCACCTTCGGTGAGCTCGACGTCAGGCGGAAGAATAGTTAAAAATTTGTCGGCTAGGTCTTTGGGTAGATAAGCGGCCCCACAACCAATAGATTTCACGCTCTTAAAAACTTGTTTATTGAGCCTGGGATGATTTGCTATTTGATGTACAACCGAAGGAACAAGTGCGATGTTCGTGATGTGATATCTACAAGCTTGCCTTCAATATGATAACCATGTAGAGCGGTGGTTCTCGTACTTGGGTATAGCTTTCATAGCGGCTGCAAGATTCCACTTTGGAAATATAACATAGGTGTGGGGGACTATAAAGGACCGGAAGCAGTATGCGTGCAGACCAAAGCTATGGTGCATAGGAAGGAACGCAAGTGTTATTGGTATGCCTTCCGGTGTAGCAAGAAGCTAGAAAAAAACTAAATACATATTCGATAAGAAAGAACAAGAGACCTACAGACGATACCGGAACCGTTGCCTTACCCATCACGAAGGACTGATAAATAGAATAGATCAAGTTTCCGTGGGTGATCATTACAGCTGCAAAACCATTTATACATATGCGAAAGGATAAAAATCGGAAAGAACCACATTACCCTTAGGTAGGCCACTGGTGCCACTAGAGAAAACAAGATACGCCAGTGTGTCCTTTCGTGCAGAACGAATCTTGTTCTCGTAAATTGGTATATTGACCTTGACATGAGATATCATATCGGAAAAGGACTTGCGGCCCCTGACACGTCCACCCAGAATAAATATCCTCTTCCTTGACAATCCTGCCTCTTTTGCTTGGGACAAGACTAAAGGAAACAGCCGCGCCTGAACGAAAATGGTAGTTACTTTAGCCAGCTTTAATGCATGCACGAGCTCGAAGGCAGTGGAATATGAGGATATCAGGGCGAACGGAGTCGCCAGGTACAACAGCGATTGTACCAGTACAACATAATCCTAGAGGAAGTGACTTCAGAATTGGTTTAAATTTACCAGTGATGAACTTGCCGAAGAATTCTCACTTATGATTCCCACCATTTCATCGTTTTCAGCACTGATACCCAAGCAGCCGTCCGATACCAGTCCCCCTAGGGCAGCTGCCGCGTCGTGCACCCTTTCTTTAAATTCATAAAATGAGCGCCTCCTGCCGGTAACGACATCAATGTGAAGAGTGTAGTCCTTCCACTCCCGTTGATCAGGTCGATTCAGCAAGACGTTGTAGGCGTTGGTGTCCGTGAGCGGTGGAGGTTCCGGGAAGGACGACTGCACATACATGGCTGCAAGAGAAAGATGGGAAACACAGAAAAGATGAGAAAGACACTCATCTTCCCCACATTATCAAGAAGCAGGAAGCGCTGAAAAGTTTCGGCTTTGCATATAGCCGGTACCAACACATTGCCGAATTGCCGAATTGCCGAATGTCCGGATCTATTCGGACCGAGGACCGGAGTGCCTATGACGCTAGCGTGTCCAACTACATACTTTTTTTTTTTTTTTTTTTGTCCTCAGCATTTGATTAACCGCAACAAGTAAGCTAACTACTAAGACGCGGTGGAGGTACAGGGCCTCAGGATCCTCTTTCCCTCTTGTTCCAGTCCCTCCGTTCTTCCTTCTGAGTTCCCCGGGTGTTTTGGCGTGTAGTGTGGAGTAGAGTAACGGACATGTATGGTATTTTGTGCCCTCGTGGTGGGCTAATTGGTTCGTTTGATCCTGCGGTTGGCTGAAGCCTGGGGTGTTTTGCGAGC